AAAACAAAGTTAATAAATCATTTGACTTCAACCTTAAACGTCAAGACGAAGTGATTATTTCAAGAATACGTATTGCTCATTCAAAAAATTAACATGCATACTTATAATATTAAAACGAGGGTTTGAGCCAGAATGTATATCCTGTGACTGTCCGCTAACTATTAATCATATTCCTTTGGAATGTTCCGATTTCTCGCCTATTCAAAGGAGACTTTTAGTTAATGTGAGAATGATGTAAGAACTTTCTTACAAATGTTAATACAATTTTAGAATATTTGCATGAAACTGGTTTTTACAGGAAAATTTAGAAGTAAGTAATTCAAGCAATTTTGATGAGAAATATACATAGCTCAATTTATTTTTTAACAGTTTACGTATTTTTAAGTCCGTCGGATAGGACATTAAATGGTGCCCCTTGTCAAGGATTACAACCCCCTTGTCACGTAAAGGATCTTTTCTCTGGATTTCGAAAAAGAGTAGGCTCATCGGGGGCCGCCAAAGAAACCAAAACTTTCAAAACCCGATCATATAAACAGAATTATCCACCGCTGAAATATTGCCGACTCGGCGTTAAACATTAAACAAGCAGTCAATCATTTGAGAATATAAAGATTTTGCTGAATTTCAGCAGAATGGTTAAAATTATATTATATATTCAGAAAAGAAAATTAAATGTGGGGGTTTATGATGTAGTTTAAAAAAAAATATATTAAAAATGTGTCAATTTTTATCATAAAGTGAGGCTATTTTTTATCTGGACTTTCACAATAAATTTGCTATATTTGTCACAAGATGATAATAGAATTCATGGCAGATATTTTGATAAATAATTTGGGACCAACATAAAACATTTCACTGCACAAAATAACTCTGTGTGCAACTTGCATGGAAAAATAGGAATTCAAACTTAACAGTGGTGTAAATACTTCGAAAGAGAAAAATCTATCATTTTTTCTAAAAAAAAAAAAAAAAAAAAAAAAAAAAAAAAACTTCCGTCAAAATATTTTTCTAATGCTTTTGGAATGGAATTTAATCTTGGAATTTTAATTGAATATAGTTTAATTGGCATTGTAGACTCAAATTTATTGTAAGAACTAAAATATTATGCAGATTTTTTTTAAATAGAGATCGAACCAAAAACATGCTCAAAAGCTGAGGAGCGAATCTCTTTAAATGCAATTTTCTCAGCGGGTTTCCGTTCAAACCCTTACTCCTAAACTTATACCAAACCTCTTATAATTTTTGATATTCTTTTCTAACTTATAGAACAAGAATGAAAAATGATATATATGTTTTAATATCAACGTACATGTATCACGAAACATTTTTTTTTTTTTTCAAATCTGTGTGTATCGATACCTATATCGTACAAAATTAATTATATATTCAAATTAGGTTGGTTTGTGAGGAAACAATAAGAGACATGACCCGCCCCAAAATCCTCTCTCAGGATCAAATTGAATCATTCTTCAATAATAATCCCCTAAATAATGACCATGATGACCAGTTATCAAAATGAAACTTATTGTATTTTGTTCACAATGTACATGTAAGGTATCACGCCATTTGCGTTGTCGGTTTATGATACAAAATACGATAGATGTGTTCGGTATAAATTTTATCATTTCTTTATTGAAAATTTCCTTCCATTGTCAAAATTCGAGTGTTGGTAAAATGGGTTGGTGCTGTCGGACCTGTACGGGCAAATTAAAAACCCGGGTTCTTAAATATTCTCCGTTAATACTCCGTCAATTGAATTGAAATGGGTGGATTATGAAGGTCGATCATAATAAGAATATTTATTAAATGAGATGTTTAACTTTTAGTAATTCTATTTGAATAATATTCAAGTTCTGTGAAATGGGAGTAAAATTTCTTGTCAAATTAGACATATATTTGCTTTCAGATATATTTTGTTGAGTGTTTTCTGCAGATAATACTAATCGGAATATTGCAGTTTTAGATTAGCCTTTTAATGTTTGTTGTGTCGACATATATCCATCAAAATTCATACAATCTTTAAAATCTTCGTAACTACTGTACATTATGTAGACATTTTCACAGGGTGCACCCCCTTTCTGTAAATTATTAGGATCAATGAACAGGCACTTGACGCTTTAAACCTTTCTCTTCATTGATAAAATATCATCCTATTATAATGGTATTATGGTATGGGATGGACATTATGGGATGAATGAAGTGATTATACCGGTTTCTGGGTCACTGTATATATGTATATATCGAATTGTGGGATACCTATAGTCACTATACCTGTTTGTGGGTCACTGTACAAATGTATATATAAATGTATTGTGGGATAAATAAAGTGATTATATGCCACTCTGTGGTTCACTATATTTAAATATGCATAAAAAATTATTGGATACGAAACATATAGATTAGATATTTTGTTAAAAATCTCATAATATAAGGTTGATAAGCTCTGTGTTGAATAAATAAATAATACATTTTGGGATGGACATTATGTGATTAATGTAGCAATCATACCAGTTTGTGGGTAACTATAATATATGTATATTACGAATTGTTGGATAAACAAGCGATTACATAAAATATATTGTGAAAATCTCATAGTATTAATTTGATAACCTGTATATTGAATAAAGAAAAAAAATACGTAATGGATTGGACATTAAGGGATCAACGCGATGATTATACTTGTTTTTGGTTAATTAATAATTATGTTTAAAAGAAATTCTGGGATAAGTAGGCGTTTAGATAAAATATCTTGTTAAGAATCTAATAATTTCGGATGAAACGTTGCATAATGAATAAATAATTAATACACTTTCGAGTTGGACATTACGGGATCAATGTATAGTACATGCTAATACCTGTTTGTGGGTCACTATATACACGAATTTACATGTATATGAGGAATTGTTTGAAAAGTAGGCGATTGCAAAAAAAAAGTGTAACATGCAAGAGTGTTATAATATAAGACTTATTAGCTGTATATTGAATAAATGAATAAAATATTAGTACGATAAGATGAACATTATGGGATCAGTCTAATGAATGCACCAGTTTGTGGGTCACTGCATGTATATGTAAGAAATTATTGGATGAGTAGGTGTTATGCATAAAATAATCTTTTTAATAATGTCATAATATTGAATAAATAAATAAAATATTATGAGATGGACATTATCGGGCTAAGGTAGTAATTATACCTATTTTGTGTCACTATCTATTCGTATATAGAAACTGTGGGATATGTAGGCTCGGGGATGAAATCTCTTGTTGAGAATTTCTAATATTAGGCTGATAAGCTATATGTTGAATAAATAGATTATGGTAATAGTAAATATATTACGATAAGGGATTGACTTATGGGATAGATGAAGTGATTATACCTGTTTGTGGGTCATTGTATATACGAATTGTGGGATATATATATTGCATGTGATTATACCTGATTGTGGGTCACTGTATATATGTATATAATGAATTGGGGGATAAATGTAGTGATTGTACCTGATTGTGGGTCACTATATATATGTATATAATGAATTGTGGGATAAATATAGTGATTATACCTGTTTGTGGGTCACTGTATATATGTATATAATGAATTGGGGGATAAATATAGTGATAATACCTGTTAATGGGTCACTGTATATATGTATATAATGAATTGTGGGATAAATATAGTGATTATACCTGTTTGTGGGTCACGGTACATGTATCTATGTATATATGAACTGTGGGATAAATATAGTGATTATACCTGTTTGTGGGTCATGATATAGATATATTTATAACAAACTTTTGGATATGAAAGCATATACGTAAGATATTGTCTTTAAAATCTCATAATATAAGGTTGATAAGCTCTTTATTGTTTAAATGAATAATTCACGAATGGAAGGTCATTATGTTATAAATGTAGTGATGATAGCTGTTTGTGGGTCACTATATATATATATATATATATATATATATATATATGTATATAACGAATTGTGGGACAGGCGATTGCATAAAAATATAGTGTAGAATCTTGTAATATTACTCTGCTATCCTATATGTTGAATTAATAAAAATACATTACAGATTGGACATTATGGAATCAATGCAGTGATTAAATCTGTATATTTACTTTTAAAAATAAGAATTCAATGCTTAAATGTGGTTCACTATATACATGTATATAAGAAAATCTGGGATAAGTAGGCATATAGATAAAATATGCCGTTCAATATCTAACAATGCTTAATGAATAAATAAATTATAAATAATACATTGTGGGGTGGACATTATTTGATAAATCAACTTTGTCACTATATATATTTGTGTATGTAAGAAATTGTGGGATATATATAGAGAGAGAGGATATCCCTAAAATACCTTGTTAAGAATCTCATAAATCGTATATCGCAGTGAGTCATTATGTAATATGACCCCAAAATACTTGAAAAGTAATATTTAAAATCTTATATTGAATCCAGCAAAACTGTTCTTAATGATTCATTCCATATTGTACATATGTAAATATACATATATATATTTATATCAAACATTAATTCTTATGTCTAATATTGTGAAATGCAGCACATAATATATATAGCATATGATAATATTGTGGGTCATGATATTCATATATATAGAGCATTGTGCGATGTATAAAATTTATCCCACAATGCTCTATATATATGAATTTAATGACCCACAATGATATACAACATTTTTAATCTTATCTCAAAAATTATATTATATATTATATAATGACCATATATAACGCCTAATTCATGAATATGACATAGCTATGCAATGTAGAAATGCGAGATCCCACAAACCTGTTTAGAAGGTCGGTGCCCACAAACAACCTCATATACCTATATATATATATATATATATATATATATATATATATATATATATATATATATATATATATATATATATATATATATATATATATATATATATATTGGAAAAATGAGAAAAGCTGTTTTAAAAATTTCTTTTCCCAAAAGGTACAATTACTTGTCGACCAGATCAATTCAAATGCAATAAAAGTGACTGTGTCTCTCAGTCCCTGAGATGTAATGGCGATGTTGAATGCATGGATGGATCAGATGAAGATGGCTGTCGTAAGTGTTTGAACTCATTTTCTTTAAGTGCTAGGAATATAAGGGGAGAGTCATACATTCATTAGACTACTTAATATTTTTAGCTACATCAAAAGGTCCTTGTCCTAGTGAAAGTTTTGACTGCTACGGAAATGGGTCCCAGTGCATTGAGGCCCGTAAGCTCTGTGACAACACAACGGACTGTGTCAACGCCGCAGACGAGGATAACAAACTCTGTGAAAGTAAAATTTTATTCTGAGCCTCTGTTGACACTCACTTGTAGCTACATTGTCTTGTCAAATTTTTTACCTACTTCACAGTAAGTGTACTCATCATATCGGGCGCCAGTGCATTAAGCTTAAGTTCAACACAGCTAAAACGCAAATAAACCAGTATTCTGTTGTTAAAGGTTTAGCTAGATTTTTTTAACAATAACCCCACCACAGACTTTAGAAATAATGAGGACCTTGACAATGAAATCTGCACTACTTGTAGCATATCAGACCCGTGAGACTGGGGAAGTTCACGTATGCCCCCAACATACCATCAGTCATATGATAAAATCATTGCCAATGCATTCTTCTTGTCAATTCCAGTCTATGACTCAAATTTGAACACGTTGAACAGATTCTTCTAAGAACAATTTTATGCAAGAAAGAGTAATTTGAATTCCAAACTAATAACTATTCCCACAGAAGTAATATTTAAATTTTTCAGATATCAAAAGCATGTAATTACTTGTAAGTGAATGGATGTGAAGACAATTAAAATGTGCGATAAAGGGGAATAAGCAAGGCTCTATCATTAACCATTTTCAGTAGGAGATACTTGCTTATCATTGTACTGAGGCTCTCCTATTGATAACATTTTTTGACTTTTTTTCATTTCTAAAAAGCTAAAGCTATTAATATGATATTAATATGATATAATTTGCTGCATGAAACTATCAAGACAATGGCTAATAATATTTTGATTATGAAAAAATGAAAAGTATTTCTCTGTTGATACACAACTATAGAAGAAAAACAAGGATTTTCAACGCCCTAAACTAGTGAGCTTTTTAGGGTGGAATGCTTCACCAAAATTATATTTAATGGATTTTTAAGACAAATCTTTTCAGCATGGAAAGTTTGATATTATCTCTTAATTATTTTATATGATTTTTTTTTTTTTTTTTTTTTTTTTTTTTTTTTTTTGTTGTTGTTGTTGTATTTTTCAAAGAATATTTAAAAATCGTTTTATTTGAAAATAAGATATGCTTTAGAGTTTACAATTTTCCTTTAATAAGTGCACAATATAAATATTTAATAAAACATGTCAAGAAGAGTCAAATAGGCAATTTAGTTTTTTTTTTTAAATAAAAAACTATTTATGAAAACTAAACACATAAGAGTTAATATCATCTTTCCATGCTGAAAACATATTTCAAATGAGATGTCTTAGAGGTCCATTAAATGAAGTTTTGGTGTAGCATTCCTCCTTAAAATCATGAATATGCGAGTCTCAATGTTTCTCCTTCATCAAATATATATGTTTATTGCCCCCCTCTCACTTTCGCAAAAGCGAGGGGAAATGAAATCTTATTCTACAATCTGTCTGTTTGTCAGTCTTGTACGTTTGTCAGTCTGTTACAAAAGCTTTAACCTTGGTCACAACTTTTGATAAAGAAAAAATAGGGTTTTCATATTTCACATGTACATTACCTGTGACAAGACCTTTCTAAATACACTATGATTTTTTACCCAGTGACCTTGCCTTGAAGTTTGACTTAATTTTCCAAAAAAATTAACATTGGTTATAACTTCTGAATGAGAGAGAATAGGGTTTTCATACATGTATTTGACAAATGCATTACCTGTGACAAGACGTTTCCAAATGTACTATTATTTTTAACCGCATTGCCTTGACCTTGAAGTTTGACCTGATTTTCAAAAAAATTAACATTGCTTATAACTTCCGAATGAGAGAAGATAGGACATTTATATTTTTCATGTGCATGACCTGTGACCTTTCCAAATTTACTATGATTTTTGACCCCATTACCTTGACCTTGAAGTTTGACCTTATAATAAAAAAGTTAACATTGCTGATAGCTTTTGAAAGAGAGAAGATTATTTTTTATAGTTGACATGTGTATTGCTTGTTTCAAGACTTTTCCGAATACACTCTGGTTTTTTGACCTCGTGACCTTGACCTTAAAAGTTTAAACTACAGTCTTTTTTTTAATTTTTTTGCCCCTGTATCGAAGATTCGGGTGTATATAGTTTTGCCCCGTCCGTCCGTCTGTCTGTTTGTCTGTCCGCAAAAACTTTAACCTTGCCCATAACTTTTGATTGGTTAGAGCTATGGATTTCATATTCACATGTGTATTCCACTGGCAAGACCTTTCTTTGTGTACCATCATATTTCACCTTTTAACCCTGACTTTGGAATTTGGCCCCGTTTTGCAAAATTTTACCCAACTTTAACCTTGGCCACAACTTCTGAACAATTGGTGCTAAGGTTTTCATACTTGATATGTGTAATTCTTGTGACAAGACCTTCCTTTGGATGCCAAGTCCTTTTCTTTTGGATATCAACAACTTTAACCCTTTGTCCTAGACCTTGGAGTTTGACTTACTTTTGGAAAACTTTAACCTTGACCATAACTTTTGAACGGTTGGTGCTAAGGCTTACATACTTCATAAATGTAATCCTTGTGATAAATCCTTTCTTTTGGGTACCAAAAAACTTTGTCCCTTTGACCTTGGAGTTTGACCTACTTTCTGAAAACTTTGACCTTGGACGGAACTTTTGAACAGTTGGTGCTAGGGCTTTCACATCTAACATGTCTATTCCTTGTGACAAGACCTTCCTTTGGATACCAACAATTGTAATTCATTGACCTTCACCTTGGAGTTTGACCTACTTTTGTAAAAAAAAAAAATTAACCTTGGCCATAACTTTTGAACGAGTGATGCTTCGGCTTTCATATTTCACCTGTTTATTTCTTGGGAGAAGGCCTTTCCTTGGGCACTATTGATTTTGACCATTTGACCTTGATGTTTGACATACTTTTGAAAAAAACTTTAACCTTTTTCATATCTATTCAATGGTTTCTGCTAGGGCTTTCATATTTCACAAGTATATTTCTCGAGACAAGACCTAACTTTGGGTACCAACACATTTGATTTGCATTTGAGAAAGTTTAACCTTTGCTATAAGTTGCCATACGGGGGCATCAGTGTTTCACAAACACATCTTGTTTTACATTGGTAATAACTTCTCAATGAAAGAGGATAGGGCTATCATATTTTATATGTAATTACCTATGACATCTTTCAGAAAAAAAAACTATCATTTTTGACTTCATGACCTTGACCTGGAGGTTTGACCTACTTATCAAAAATTTGAAGTTTGGCCATAACTTTTGCTTCAGAGGAAACAAGACCTTCATATTTTTCACCTGCGCATTACTTGTGACAAGACCTTTCAGACTGTATTATGATATTTGACCTCCTGACCTTGATCTTGAAGTTTGATGCAGTTTTGAGAAGCTTAAATCTTTGCTGTGACTTTTATTAAGTCACCTGAGTCACTCAGGTGACCTATTGCTATCTGTTCTCGTCCGTCGTCGTGCGGGTGTGCGTCGTGCGTAAACTTTTCACATTTTCGACTTCTTCTCAAGAACCACTGGGCCGATTTCCACCAAACTTGCCACAAAGTATCCTTATGTAAAGGTGATTCAAATTTTTACAAATGAAGGGCCACACCTTCTTCCAAGGGGAGATAATTAAGAATTAGTGAAAAATTAATGGTCTCTTTTAAAAATCTTCTCAAGAAACACCGGACCAGGTAAGATGAAACTTATATGGAAACATCCTCAGGTAATGCAGACTCAAGTTTGTTAAAATCGTAACCCCCAGGGGTAGGGTGGGGCCACAATGGACGATCAAAGTTTTACATAGAAATACATAGACCAATTTTTAAAAATCCTCTTCTTCAGAACCACTGGGCCAAGAAAGATGATACTTATGTGGAAACATCCTCTGGTAGTGTAGATTCAGGTTTGTTCAAATTATAACCCCAGGGGTAGGGCGGGGCCACAATGGACGATCAAGTTTGATATGGGAATACATTAAAAAAATCTTCTCCATAACCACTAGGCCAAGAAAGATGAAACTTATGTTGAAACATCTTCAGGTAGTGTAGATTTAAGTTTGTTCATATCATGATACCCAGAAGTGGGGTGGGGCCACAATGGACAATGAAAGTTTTATTTGGAATACGTAGGAAAAATCTTGAAAAAAATCTTTTCTCAAGAACAGCAAAGCCACGATTGGTTTTATTTTCATGGAAACATCCTCAGGTAGTATAGATTCAAGTTTGTTTAAATCATGACTCTGGGGATAGGGTGGGGCCACAATGGACGATCAAAGTTTTACAAAAGCTGCTTCTATCAGTTTATTTTACACTCTATGGATCCTCTATGGATTGTTGTTTTATACTCAGGTGACCTTTAAAGCCCTTGGGCCTCTTGTTAATTCAATAATTTATATCTTCTTTTGTATGATGGAGGGATAAGATAAGATGCACAAGCAAAAAAGTTACAATATGCCACAAATAATTGCATCCTAGCCATTGAGACACCGAAAGCGGGGGACCACAATTTCCAGTTTTGTTCCAATTTCAGTAAGATTATGTACACAAGTACACTATACTAAGAAACATAATTCTGTTTATTGTTAGGTCACCTGAGTCACTCAGGTGACCTATTGCTATCCGTTTTCGTCCGTCGTCTTGCGACGTGCGTTAACATTTGAACATTTTAGCTTCTTCTCTGAAACCGCTCAACCAATTTCAACCAAATTTGGTATATAGCATTTATGGGTGAAGAGGAACAAAAATTGTGACTTTCATGGTCCCTGCCCCCCTGGGGCCTGAGGGGTGGGGCTAAAACCACCAAAATTAATGCAATCTTTAAAAATCTTCTTCTTTACTCCTGGACATCAAGCAGTCAAACTGTTGGCATGATTGTAATAAGCATTGAGCACTCTACCAAAATTGTGAAATTCATGACCCCAGGGTCAGGGGTTCTGGTGCTAGGGCGGGGCTATATAGATCATATAGTGAAAGTGCATTATTTCTTTGAAAATCTTCTTCTCTGCTCCTGGGTATCAAATATACTAAGTACATAGTTATGAAGAGCAAGAGTGCCTCTTCCAAAATTGTGAATTTCATGAATTAATTCTTTGAAAATCTTCTCTGTTCCTGGGTATTAAATAAACTAACCAATTTAAGTATATAGACATGATGAGTAAGAGAGCCTCTTCCAAACTTGTGAATTTCATGGCCCCAGGGTCAGGGGTTCTGGTGTTAGGGCAGGGCTCTATTGACTATATGGTGAAAATGCATTAATTCTTTGAAAAACTTCTTCTCTGCTCCTGGGTATTAAATAAAGTAACTAAGTACATAGTCATGAAGAGCAAGAGTGCCTCTTCCAAAATTGTGAATTTGGCCCCAGGGTCAGGGGTTCTGGTGTTAGGGTGGGGCTCTATTGACTATATAGTGAAAATGCATTATTTCTTTGAAAATCTTCTCTCTATTGGATATTAAATAAACTAAGTACATAGTTATGATGAGCATGGCTGCCTCCTCAGAAATTGTGAATTTCGTGGCCCCTGGGTGAAGGGTTCTGGTGTTAGGGAGGGGCTCTATTGATTATATAGGGAAAATGCATGAATTCTTTCAAATTCTTCTCTGCTCCTGGGTATTATTCAAACAAAGGAAGTGCTTGGTTATGATAAGGAAGAATGCCCCTTCCAAAATTGTGAAATTCATGGCGCCTGGGTCAGGGGTTCTGGTGAAGGGGGGGGGGGTATTGATTTTATAGTAAAAATGCATAATTTCTTTCAAAATATTTTTTCTACTTCTGGTAATAAAAGAAAGAAATAAGTGTATAGTTATGATGAGCAAAGTGCTTCTTCCAGATTTGTGAGTTCATGGCCCCTGTGTAAGATGTTCTAGTGTAAGGGGGGCTTTATTTATTTAATAATATAGTGAACATGCATTTCTTTGAAAATCTTCTATGCTCCTGGGCATATTCGAGGCAAACAGAGTAAAAGTTTTAATATGCAAGGGTATTTTTACCAGAATTTTAAACAACTGAATTATTTCGTCAAGTGTTCTGGTCCTGGTCAGGGCTCTGTGAACTTGTATCTGCTGAGCATAGTTATTCCCCTTTGCCATTCACTTTTGATAATTAATCACCGTAAATAATGTATTTGAAAGGTTAATAGAAGAAGAGAATTATGCAAGAATATTTATTGTATAATACAAAAAGTACTTTCATAGTTTTAATGATAAGGTAGACTTGGAAATAATAGATGAATAAAAGTGAAGCAAAAATAACTTATCCTTTTTAATGTTCTTCAAAGGCCAAGAGAGACCAATGTGAGAAGTTGTAATATGGGGTTAAAAATAGACATTTTGTTAATAGTTTGCATGGTAATAGTGATAAATGTGGGACAGATAGATTCTATACCAATTATTTTGTTGATGCTTATCATACTATTTTTCTTGCTTTTGGGCAACAAAGTTTCATTTATCAGTTTATGGATCCTCTAAATTGTTGTATTGTTTTCAGATGACCGTTAAGGCCCTTGGGCCTCTTGTTTTTTTTTTTTTTTATTTTCCACAAACGTCGTTACCATGGTTACTAAAAATAAAAATTTCTTTCAAATTCTTTCAAAACACTACACATCCTATAGCTTTTGGTCCAATTTCATTAAGATATACTAAGGCAAACCAAATACATACAAGTAGAGCTTTAATCTCGTCAGAGTCCTCTGGGTTTTTTTTTTAACTCTAAATAAAACGCTTTAAAATTCATAGACAATATCAGTTCAATGCATCCAAGTTTCATTCGACCCAAAGAGCGTTATCACAAAGCAAAATCATTTAATCAACAGAGCATTCTCAAATAATTGTATTTAAGGTTTTGATGATAGCTACCTGTAAAGAACATGCAAAAGTTAAAATTTTTATAAGCTTTACACTGTAATATCAAATGCCATCATAAAGTAGTCACTGCTGAAAATAAAACAAAACCTTTTAATAAATGTGCAATATTTTGTTGAAAAGAACACGAAGAAAAATGTCAAATTGTAATGTCCTAATCTGACTTAATGCATGAAAAAGAATCCTAAAATGATGCAATCAGATCAATTCTAATATATCACTTTTCATCGCCTGCGTGGCGCAGTGGTTAGAGCGTCTGCTCTAGAGTCGCGGTTTAAGAAGTTGATCCGTACGTCGCGGGTTTGAATCCCACTGTGGGACGTGGAGACCGGTACTTCGGATGAGACCGTATAAACCGAGGTCCCGTGTCGCAGTAGGTGCTGGCACGAAAAAGATCCCTCGCTGCTCAATGGCCCTAAGTGCCGAGTATAGGTCAAAATTTGCAGCTCTCCGCCGGCAAGTGGTGACGTCTCCATATGAGTGAAAAATTCTCAAGAGGGACGTAAAACAACACACAAACAAACAAAATATATCACTTTTCATCTTATTCAAAATTTTAGCAATTCCATGCAACTTGAATAATGGTGGCTGTATGCACACATGCATCCCTATTGGCACTCAACACCGGCGCTGCGAGTGTTTGGATGGTTACCGATTAGTGGGCAACACATCCTGTGAAGATGTGAACGAATGTGACCAGTGGCCCCCAGTTTGCTCACAGAAATGTGTTCATGAGCCTAAAGGGTCATACAGATGTGAATGCATGCCAGGCTACAACCGTGAGCAACTCCCTGATGGCCAGGATATTTGTAAAGTTATTGGTAAGTAAACAAGGTTCCATTTTTCATCATATATGTGCCGATGACGAACTTAAAGAGGCACACTAGACACATATATCGCCTAAAATAAGCAAAAAAAATCTGAAGAAGAAATCAGATCATTCTTTATGTGAAAAAATCAAAATACATGTATTTTGTAAGTAAAAAAAATGTAAACATAATTATTACATGTATATGACCTGTACATCCCATAAAAATCATTACAGGCTTCATACATTCACTTTTGAATATCACTCCACTCACTACTACATTGTAGTATTACTTTTCTTTTTTTCATTTGGCATGCGTCGTTCTTGGGCATTTTTGATTTGGTCGCAACCTTTTAGCATCCCCTTTAATACTACTGAATCGGACACTACCAGTTTCGGTATATCACATGCAACACAAGTAGACTACATTTAGATACACAATTCTATATACTGGTTTTTGATTTTGATAAATGGCGTTGCCATGCTGACTAAAAATAATCTGAGGAATTCTACAGTTTTTGGTCTAATTTATAAAAAACGTACTACTCAAGTAGTTTGTCTCAAGACATAATATTTTGTTTATCGACTTTTGATTTCTATGATGCTGTTTTGGTTACTGAAAGTATTTTTCTTTGAAATTCTTTCAAAATGTAAATCCTACAAGTGGGGTATAGTTTAAATTAAATTTGTACAAGTTTAAGTAAACATCAAAGTACATAGATAAATAAAAACTCAGAAGAAAAAAGATGCAGTATAAGCTCATACTATAAATTTAAACCTGGGAACAACCACAAATCTATTAGAGACTTCTGTTTTTAATTTCTAGAACTTTTACATAAGCCATTTTTTTCATTCATGTCCCATGACCACGATTCCAAAAGTGAAACTTATTTTGGTCATACAGGAAAAATGCATTAAATTTTTAATGTATGCTTTACTCCTCGGATCTGGCAAAATGTTATCTACGTTATTGGTTGTTTATTTTAGAAAAAGAACCCGAATTGAATAACTTGAAAATTAGCTTTGCTCGTCAAAAGATTTTGTCCCTCTAAGAATGCTGGTTATACCCCTGTGTCAGCACATATACTAATTTTGATAAAATCCTGCAGTCTTGTTTTATATTTAATGTACCTTTCGGTAAATTAGGTGAGAGACCTTGGTTGTTGTTTGCCAACAGAAATGACATCAGAAAATTGGAGGTAGATACTCTGATACAACAACCTGTTGTCAGTGACCTGCACAGTGCTATTGCTGTTGATTACGATTATTACAAGAAAGTAGTTTACTGGTCTGATAATGTGCAAGAGAGAATAATGAAGTAAGCATAACACATTTGAAAGTAAATTTTGAAAATTAACTTTTACATTTACTTCATTAAATTTTTAAGGTTGAAACAAATATTGCACTGTCTTTTCCAAAAGGGCAAACATATCTGAAAAAGGGGAAACAAATAGGACAAGCATACCTGTAATCAGCCGGGGTGTGAAAACTCCTGATGGAATCTCTGTGGACTGGATCTATCATAATCTGTATTGGACTGATACCGGATATAATACCATTGAAGTTGCCTCGGTTGATGGATCCATTAGAAAGACTCTTGTAGATAAAGACCTGGATGAACCTAGATCAATTGTGCTTGATCCAAAAAACGGGTCTGATTTCTAATATCAATAAATATTTGAGAATTTAACCAAAAAAACGCATGATTTTCGCAATGATGTATTCATTCATAAATAAGGACAATTTTATAATTTACAATTTCAATCAGGTGGATGTATTTCTCTGACTGGGGATCAACTCCCAAAATCGAGCGCATAGGAATGGATGGAAATCATACCAGCAGAAGTGTTCTAGTGCAGACGGAAATTGAATGGCCAAACGGTTTAACTTTGGATTATGCTAATGAAAGATTATATTGGATTGATGCTAAACTGAAAAGCATATTCACAATAAAACTAGATGGTAATGATATTCGAAGAATTCTGCACAACGCCGAGCAAATCGGCCATCCATTTTCATTGACTGTTTTTGAGGTAAGAATTTTTTTTATTTTTAAGGGTCTCTGGTTTGTACATGTATCTTTCCAATTCTACCAAATTTTGTCATAGGAAAGTCTTTACTGGACAGACTGGGTATCTGCAGCTATACGAAAAGTTAACAAATACACAGGACAGGGATATTCACAATTGATCGCTGGTTTGAAGGCTCCAATGGACATTAAAGTCTATCATCAGCAAAGGCAGGTGCGCAGTAAGTTTCATTTATAAAGAAGGAATGGTTTATTTATTAAAAAAAAAAAAGAAATATCCTGAGACAAATAACTATGATTCAAAACATATTTTCATATTCAGGTCCTAACAAATGTGGAAAAATGAATGGTGGCTGCTCCCATCTCTGCCTACCAACCCCAGTATCACTGAATTCAAAAGGGTACACATGTGCATGTCCAAATAACATGATCCTTTCTGGAAAACAATGTGAAAACAATGGTTAGTGAATTTCAAAAGTCAATATTTTAGCATTGCACACAAACTCCATAATACAGTGTACCAAAAGACAAGTGTCAAAGGAGATAAGTTTAACAGAATCACAGAAGTTAAGAATGCTATAATAATGGTAAATTTTTAAAGATTTTTTTAAATGATACAACAGATACTTGCAATATATCGCAATATATTACAAATCTATAATTAAAAAAAAAACAATAATATATTGCAAAATAGAGAGAGGGCTAAAATAGGCTGAGCCTGCTGCCCAATTCCATTCACTTCTGTGAAGAAAACTTTGTTTAAATAAAAAAAAAATACTTGCAATAGTTTCTAAAACCAAGTCTCCAACCTAAGGTAATACGTTTAATACTAAGTACCACCGATTTTACTTTATTTGTTTCGTAATACTTTGAATTACAACTCAACTTCATAATGTGACACATCAAATAAGAAACTAAGGTATTGATGGAATTAATGCAATATAAATATAACGAATATCAGGCATATCGCATGTTTCGACGATTACGTACAATGTCAATTGAAAAGATCAATGACATGGAATACAATACAATCAAATTGTGCATCTGTGTTTGTTCCAGTACTTACTGCATTAAGCCGCCGTGCAGTTTTGGATTAGGGAGTCAGATCAAGGTATTTCAATGAAAAAAAGTGATCAGAAGTAACCGGGAATAAAATATCACATTTTGTGCGACTAGTTCACTATTTATGCTGAAGAAATTATTAAAGAGAATGGAGGGGAAGTCAATGCTTCATTGTAGATTAAAATATGGATGATAGAACAAACCTACGAAAACTCTCGCATTTCGCGCTGTTTTGATTTAATTTCTTATTACAAATATTCAGCAATGAAAAACGCTAACAATTTGGAAAAAAAGAAGAAAAAAGTGATCCTGCTGAATTCGAGAGATAAGTATCGAATACGTAATCCAGTTTGTTGATATAATAAAAACATTTTTAAACGCTTGTAGTTTAGTTATTATGATAGTTCGTTAAGTTTGTTGCATTCGTAAACATCGTAAAACACTCTAATGAACACCTTATTCACATCACAAAAAAAACATTCTTGAGCCAATTTTCAACCCCACCCATTTACAACCTCTATTTTGAGTTAAATTCTCATTAGTAACAATAATATATACCACTTATACTCATGGTTTTCTTTGTTCTTGTGTAAACATTGATAAAAATATAAATCATATAAAAATATTTTTAATAATGAAAGGTTTTGTATTTAGGAGTGACTTCCACAAGCAATGCTAAACGTACTCTCAGACCATCTTACCTTCAGCTCTGAAAGATCAATTAAAGAGACTATCAATATTTCAGTTCACTCTAGTGTCAGCTCAGAACCTCCATTTGAAGTAACTACCAATGTTTCGGAACACATCACTATCAGTCCTGAAAAACGATCTGAAGTAACATCCAAAGATCCTAGTCACACTGCTGTCAACATTGAAGACAGAGATGAAACTACTAATGTTCCATCTCGCCTCACTGTCCACACAAACACTCAGTATGAGGTAACTACAGGTATTCCAGCTCAACCTACTGTCAAAAGCAAAACTGAGGATGAAATAACTACGAAAGCTCCTGATCTCAACAGTTTCAGCGCTGAGACTCCAAAGGAAACAAATGCCAAAGTTGCTAACAGCTCCAAAGATCCGTTTGTAAATTCAAGTGTTCCAGCATACATTCCTATCAGCAATGAAAGTTCGAATGATATTGTTACTCCAAGAAAACCTACAAATGTAACAGAGGTTGAAAATTCATCAGAGGATCCAGTAGTAACAGTCGTGGTGATTGCAGTTGTAGTATTACTTAGCCTAGCTATTTTGGTCATAGTAAGTACTTCAAATTAAAACTCAATCATACTCTTTTAAGCCAAATTAGCATTTAATTCATTATTATTATTATTATCCTTTATGTCAGGTACTTTTCTTGTATTTGTAGATAGGATTCTTCGTTTACAGGGAGTACGCAAAGAATAATATAAGTAAATATATACATTATTCATATTAATAGCGATTCTCTGTAACCACTTAAACTTCTTTGCCACGCATGGTCACCGATTTTGATGAAACTTTACCCATTATTACAACTTGACACCAGAAACATATATCAAGTAAAATTTCCTTGCTATGTGTCTTGGTTGCCATGGTAACAGCCAGAAAAGTTGAAAAAAATTGAGATTTTCAGCTACTTTAAATCTTTATTAAGCCTTAATAAAGACTAAGAAAAATAAATAAACCATTCTTCCAAAAACTTGACACCTTGTTGCCACTTATGCTATTAAGAAACTATTTAGAATTTATCTCTAAGTAAGTGGTAACCATGGGTACATTTGGAATACATTTTAGATGCTGAAAAAAGCTGAAAAACGCTCTATAGTCACAAATGATAGATGTTACATGATCAAACTCAATCAACAATGTAAGAAAAACAATGAAAAATATTTGACCTCATGTAATTAGGTATTGGCAATATTATTCTAAAAATAACTTTCATGGTTGCCATGGTAACACAGTGTCACCATGCAAAATCTGTTGCTATGATTGGGTTAATGCTACTATCGTGAGGAAAAACAATAAAATTCATGACTGGCACATATGCATCCTTAGGACCTTGCAACATCGACAACATAAGAAAAATTGAGATTAATTGTTACTTTGCAGTGTAACCATGGAAACAACGTACTAGTTGTTTAAAGTGATATTTTTTTTGCTGCTTTAGGAATTTACTAACCTTTTAATCAAGAAAAATATTATTTGAATCACCTTGAATAGTAATTATCTCGTAGAACTAAAGTTGAATATCATATATTGATAAAGGTTGTTGAAAAATACAACACTGTTGCTATGGTTACCAAGAAGAGAAAATGTTCGATTTTGTTAATTTTTTGTCAATATTAGACCATATGTGCCAGCTTTTTGCATCCAGTTAGAGATAGGGTGATAGTCAAAATTGAAAGTCGGGTTCGTTGTTCACATATATCAATCATTAAAGTTTTGGGAATCTACATACAACGGTACGTATCCAAGGAAACAGAGTATTTTTCAGATTTTTATGCATGTTTTTTCGCCTTATTTCCATAGCAACGCACTATTTAAAGAATTGAAATTGAATTTTTTAAAATGTGAAAATTAGGGTCACACCAAGGCCTTTAAAAATTGATCATCAGTTATGTAGAAATATGCTTTTTAAAAAGATAGAATAAGATTAAAACACTAAGAGAGTAAATTTAAAATCCCTTCGTGGTATTAAAACCATGGCAACCATTGCCAACCTATAAGAAATATCATATTTTGTCCTTGGTATATGTTACAAGGATCTTTTCTCTATTATTTGCTTGCATTTCAACCTATAATTGTTTTTAGTCTTAAGTTTATGACTTTATAAAATTAAAAGAACAAAATTATTATTTCTGAATACTTTGTTTCCATAGTAACGTATGTTATAGATGATTTACCAAACATGTTTATCATGCATTTAACACACCAGGCCTTCAACTTTCAGAAAAAGTCATTGCCACTTGTTTGCTTTGCTGGGACTCTGAAGATGTTGAAAAATGCCATTTTTCAAACTTTAGGAAATGTTGCTATGGTAACCATGACACGTAGCAACCAATTTTTGCTTGATTTGAGTTAACGGTATCAAAGACTTTTATCATAGAGAGTTTGGAGAAATTCTGAGACTAGGCGTGCCACAGCTCCTATATAAAAGTTAAAGTCATTACAGAGAATTGCTCTTAATCAATAATATATAATTATATATATATATATATATATATATATATATATATATATATATATATATATATATATATATATATATATATATTAATCATCTATAAGTTTTCTTAAGATTTATTCTCATAATTTGCACAATAAGGAATATGAAAAATGGGAGGTAAGAATATGGATTGAACACTTAGATAAATCTGTGTATAATTTTCATTTAAGTTCCAAAGCCATATCAGACAGATGAATTCTTTAAAAAAGCTGATCAATATGTACCAATGAGAGGAACTCGTGATAATGAGTCAAACTGTGTTGTTAGAACTAATGAAACTGATACCAACAGCAAGGTCAGATAAAAAAGTTATTTTCTGATTTCGTTTCAATTTCTTCATTTAATTTTATATCCTATTTTTCATTCTCGAAAAATCAAACACACTTTGAAATGAACCATAAAGATGTCTAGCAAAGTGTGGGTTTTTGTTATTTACAGAAAACAATTGATGAACCATAGTCTTCTTTGGGTTGAAAATGAAAAAAATGTTTCCAGCAAACTAACAATTGTCAGACAGTGTGTAATGTGATGAAAATTGCCACCTCTATGAAGATTATTTGAGAAAAATAGAATCGATAGTTTTCGTACCATTTCCTGTATTTATGAAAATGTAAATGGTTGCTGAAACAAAGAACCTGTGATGAAAATAAATCCTACCACCATAATACAGACTCTGAACTTTTGTCATTTTGTATAGGTGTTGAAAACAGGGGTTGGCAAAATTTGTGTATTAAATTAAAAAAGCTTGCAGCTCTCATTAAACAAAGATTGTTGTTTCGAGTATTGACTCCTGTTCAGAGTTCAATGTCTATGTCATCCTCACTTACCATACTTTATATTTTTAAACTCTACAATCATTCTTGGACACAGATTTGAAGCTCATATTTTCTAAAAATTTCAATATAATATCGTGACTTATATGTTGTTGGAGCATTTCACACCGAAATATAATAAAAGCTTGGGTGAGATTTTCTTTTATCTGGAAATTATTAAAACTACGAATTTCGTGACGCGTTTGATTGACACATAGCTTTGCAGTTTCACGAAAAAAAAACTTTATCCATAATACTAAAGAAAAGTAGAAATAATATTGTGTATTAATAAAGAATATGAAAACTATAATCCAGAAAATTCAGAGGAGACAAAACCAACTCGCCAGTATTGTCAGTCCGTGCTGAGTGAGGTGTGAAGACTCAACAAATTTCACACACCCGGTAAAACGTAAACATTAACAATAACAGAGCTCGTGTCTTGTTTACAAACATAGATATTTGACGTGGTGTTATGAAGAATGTCGTTGTCTTTGAATTCTTAGAATATTCATGTAATTTCAAATCATTAATTATAAACTGAAGTTAATTTTTAACAAGAGGCCCAAGGGCCTTAACGGTCACCTGAGTATAATACAACAATTTAGAGGATCCATAGAGTATAAAATGAACTGAAAGGTGAAGCTTTGTTGCCCAAAAGCAAGAAAAATAGAGTGATCAGGATCAAAAAAATAATTAGTATAGCATTCATTAAGAGTTCATAAATTAGGTTCTAATCTATTCCCCATTTAACACTATCACCATACAGTAAATTAAGAAACTATCACTGCTTCTGTACTATCTTAATTCCTTGTTGAAATCTCTTACATTGGCCTCTCTTGATCTTTGATGAACACTTAATAAGACAAGTTATTTTTGTCTCATTTTTATTTATCTATTACTTACAAGTCTACCTGATCATTAAAACTATGAAAGTACTTTTTGTATTATACAATAAAAATTCTTGCATAATTCTCTTATTCTATTAACCTTTCAAGTACATTATTTACAGTGATTAATTATCAAAAGTAAATGGCAAAGGGGAATAACTCCTCTCAGTAGATTACAAATTAAAAGTGCCCTAGCTAGGACCAGAACACTTGACTAAATGGTCCAGATGTTCAAATATCTGGTAAAAATACCCTTCCTTATTAAAACTTTTACTCTTTTTGCCTCTGATATACCCAGGTGCAGAGAAGATTTTAAAAGAAATAATGCATTTTTACTACAGATTCACTATATTATCAATAGAGCCCCCCTCCCCATCGAGAAACACCAGAGCCTCTCACCTTGGGACCAGAAGTTTGCACATCATAAGTAATCACTTTGTTTATCTGCTTAACACTGAGGAGCAGACAGGATTATTTAATAGAATTAATGCATTTTCACTATATTATCAAGAGCCCCACCCTTACACCAGCACATCTGACCTAGGGGTCATGCAATTCACTACTCTGGAAGAAGCACTCTTGCTCATCATAACTATACACTAGCTTCTTAACAAGAAGCAGAAAAGAATGTTTTCAGAGAAATTTTGCTTTTTCACTATATAATCAATAGAGCCCCCCCCCTTTTCACCAGAACCCTTGACCCTGGGGCCATGAAATTCATAATTTTGGAAGAGGCATCCTTGCATATCATAACAATGCACTTAGTTTGTTTAAATAATACCCAGGGGCAGAGAAGAAGAGTTTTAAAGAAATAATTCACCTTCACTATAGGATCTATATGGCCCCACCCTAGCACCAGATCCCCTGTCCCTGGGGCCATGAATTTCACAATTTTGGAAGAGGCATCCTTGTTTATCATAACAATGTACTTAATTTGTTTAAATAATACCAAGGAGCAGAGAAGAAGATTTTTAAAGCATTAATGCATTTTCACTATATAATAAATAGAGCCCCACCCTAACACCAGAACCCCTGATCCAGGGGCCATGAAATTCACAATTTTGGAGGAGGCATCCTTGCTTATCATAACTATGTATTTAATTTGTTTCAATAATACCCAGGAGTAGAGAAGAAGATTTTCAAAGAAATAATGCACTTTCACTATATGATCTATATAGCCCCACCCTAGAACCAGAACCCCTGACCCTGGGGCTATGAATTTCACAATTTTGGTAGAGTCACCCTTGCTTATCATAACTATGTATTCAATTTGTTTCAATAATACCCAGGAATTGAGAAGAAGATTTTCAAAGAAATAATGCACTTTCACTATATGATCTATATAGCCCCGCCCTAGAACAAGAACCCCTGACCCTGGGGCCATGAATTTCACAATTTTGGTAGAGTCACCCTTGCTTATCATAACTATGTATTCAATTTGTTTCAATAATACCCAGGAGTTGAGGAGAAGATTTTTAAAGAAATAATGCACTTTCACTATATGATCTATATAGCCCCGCCCTAGAACAAGAACCCCTGACCCTGGGGCCATGAATTTCACAATTTTGGTAGAGTCACCCTTGCTTATCATAACTATGTATTCAATTTGTTTCAATAATACCCTGGAGTAGAGAAGAAGATTTTCAAAGAAATAATGCACTTTCACTATATGATCTGTATAGCCCCGCCCTAGCACCAGAACCCCTGACCCTGGGGCCATGAATTTCACAATTTTGGTAGAGGGTTCAATGCTTATTACAATCATGTCAACAGTTTGACTGCTTGATGTCCAGGAGTAAAGAAGAAGATTTTTAAAGATTGCATTAATTTTGGTGGTTTTAGCCCCACCCCTCAGGCCCCAGGGGGGCAGGGACCATGAAATTCACAATTTTTGTCCCCCTTCACCCACAGATGCTATATGCCAAAATTGGTTGAAATTGGTTGAGCGGTTTTAGAGAAGAAGCTGAAAATGTTTAAATGTTAACGGACGACGCACGACGACGGACAAAAACGGATAGCAATAGGTCACCTGAGTGACTCAGGTGACCTAATTAAAAGAGAAATTTAAGTTGTAAACAATGCAGCTGTATCCATTCTTTTAAACATTCGTACAATTTATCAACAGGAAAACAGAACTGTTACCTCAACAATGTTCTCTCATTGTTCTTAATCTTCAACTTTCATCATTTACGAGTCTTAAAAGTAAAATATTAAGATAAAATGTCTTTAGATAGCGTTATTTCAAAGATCTCAATATATACACCTATTTACTGGCTATGAGGACACTAGTAATTTAATTGTCCCCAAGACAGCAACTATTTCCCGAGGTGCCGTCGAGGGAAATAGTTGCTGTAGAGGGGGACAGTAGTGACTGTTCCTTTGCCAAGCCTCAATCAATCAATCAAATTATTAAATCTCGTCACTTCAATCATGAAAAATAGTAGTGGCTATAAATAACTGTAAAACAAATATGATCAAAGGAATTATAATAATTCTCATATTTATTGATCTGATAAAAATTATAACACTCATAATCATGAAAAATCATTAGAAAAAGAGTAATTAGTTGTAAGCAATATTATATATTTAAGTAACCATTAATTTAAAATAAATATACATATGTATTACTCGGTTGACACTTGGAGTGCATGTGCACAATTGATATAAAAAAAATAGAAATACAAACAAAATAAATAGAAATACTAACAAAATAACTAGAAAACAAATCATAAAAGAGTACTTTTAAATTAACACTTTAGCCAAATTAAAAGGGGGAAAAAAGATGTTCTTGCTAAACATAAAGAATCACACTGTTGGAAAATTTTAAATTACCTAAGACACATTTACAAAATCATATAATATACAAAAATATTTTGTCAAGAAGATCAGATTTATTTCAATAATAATAAAATTAAGATGTTTACACACAAAAAATAAGAAGTCATGCTACAAGTATTTTTTGTTTGGGGGGGGGGGGATGAAGACTGTGGTGCAACTTCAACTCGATTACTTTTGATGCATTCATACGATCATGTAATGAACACAAATCTCTTAAAAGGAGATCATATATTATGACTAGAATAGAATATATTACAAGTTCTTATAAACTCCATGTGCTTCAAAAATTAATTTAATTCAATTAATATATCTAACATACAACTTGTGGAATTAATGGATTTCCAGTGTTAGTATTATAGAAAGAGGAGTATACTTACAACAGAAAGAAAACTGATGCCAATTATAGGCACTGCAAAGTGGATCAACACTTCTCAAAATTATATCCCAAGAATACCTTTTTAAACTGTGTTCAAAACATTATTAAACCTTATTAAACATCTTTACACCTTCAACTATGTACTGGTATTGTTTTGCCACATAAAGTATTTTTATATCTAGTATCATCAGGTTATCACATAACAGTATTAAGTTTCAAACTACTGTCAATTAAGTCTCTAAAGATGGAGCCCACCAAACTGTTATTACCTATGACTGTCTTCATCTTGACTTCTGTGAACTTGAATTCAACAGATTTTTACAATTGTCACCTGGCAACTTTGCAATAACTTAAAGGAAACTAGGATTAAAAGTCAAAAGGTACTCTCTACTTCGTGTCATCAACATTAATTCCATCCTTCACTGTCTTTGACCCTAGCCTTAGCTTTGATGTTAAAGGCAATAGGATTTTTTAATGTGATCTCCAAGCATCTTTGTACTGCACGTATGGACAGACACAAAAGGGACTGTATTTATATTTGTGATGCAGCTACTAACTGAGATATAAATCATAATTGAACAGACACAAGTAAAAGTTTCCCCCCTGCTACTTACTTTACAAAAAGACATTTGTACATGTACAATTTAAAGAAATGGCTTTGCATCATCCCAAGTCCAAGGCAATAAAAAAATGATGTACTAATAAAAAAAAACATAACTTTTTCATAATAAAATAAATATAAAATAGGAATGTGTAAAATAAATTAAAACAAAATATATATAAACACTATAACTGTGAAAAATTGCTTCACTCAAAATACACATATTTACAACATCTCAAATGAAAAAGATTGCCTGTCAAACAATGTATTATGATGAAGTAGATTGTATTGGAGTATTCTAATATCAATGTTTTCCATTTGAAAATGGCAAAATCATGGATGTCATAAGAAAATCAAATCTTAAATGTGGTGCAAAAATTCAAAATATCTTACATTTAAGTTAACTTTATTAACTACATGCAGCAAGCTCTTATTACATGTAGTAGAATGTCCAGGTTTTTTCTTGAATCTCTTACACTGAACATATTTAAAATGCCAAGTATGAGAGGGCAACACATCATGATTATTCTTTACTTTTTTTCAAACGATGAAACATTGCAGCATCAACATTAAATCAATATAGGATTACAAATACAACACAAAATGTAAAAGCCATAGAGTATTTTCCTGAAGATGTTATCAATCATATCAGAACATGTGTTATTACCTGCTTGTATTACATGGTAATGTCAGTATTTCAAACATGCTTATTTTAAAATTAGGTCAAGGGAATAACATTTTTTAAAAAAATCATGATCTTTTTAAGATTCTAATTTTTTAGCTATTACATGTATTTATATATACACTGTAAAAAAAAAACTGTAAAAGAATTATTTTGAGCTGACTATTATAACTTCCTGTGATGTTTCTATCTTATTGAGATGCATCTTTTCGCGGAGTTTCATGATCTGAATGAAGAGTTCTGTTTTTTTACTATGAAAGCGAGACCTCTAGAGATAAACAGTCAGACAGACAAAGTGATCTCTATGTGTCTACCATGCTAGGCAGGTGACATGAAAATAGTTCATATATTATAATCACTGATTGTCCACAGCCATAAGAAAAAATAAGATGTACATGTGAATTCCTTGAGAACAAAACATTAATGTTCAAATTTAAGTCATTTTCAACATGATTCACTTTTTAAATTTCTGTAATGGTAAAAGCAAGTCAAAATTCAATATTTTTTTCCAATTCTAAAACCATCTACATAAAAAAAAAGATGCTTAGCACTGTAAAATATTCTGAGTACAAACTAGTACAAACTATTTATTTTTCTTACACACAGAATTCTGTTTACTTCATTATGTGTCTTTATGATATTAGATATAAAATTGGAAAAAAATATTTAATTTGAAGATACATCAACTTAAAGATGAAATTTTTAGGGCTTATCATTCTGATAAAAATATTAGGGACTAACGTGGACAGAGAAGTACAGAGGACAGATATGCAAGTAAGGGATAACATCGAAGTAATTCAAGCTTGACTTATAAAACCTCATCAGAGAGACAACATGGTGGCCTGGCTGTGATGAGTGATGATAATCTCAGCAGGATAAGACTGCTCCCATGGTTCACCATCCACTTGCATTGGTACATTGCTCCCACTCAAACTAATCTATGAAAAAAATTATTACTCCTACAACGATCTTATAAACAGAGTTCAATAAAAATAGTAAAATATTTCTTCTTCCATATTGAAGAGGACTATTTGCTTAGATATTATTACTATAGAAACATATAATACTCCAAAAAGGAAAAGATGTGTTTTACTTGAACAAGTACGGTATATGAATCTTCATCCAGCAATATACAATATTTTCAAAACCGAACTTTTTACTTTTACAAAATGTATACGACACAGCAATTTTTAGTTACATGTGTATTTTCACATAACACTCCTTGATTCTCAAGTACATGTATTACATCTTGTTTCCTTACCTTGACAACTTTTGCCTGACCTAGTCTTATAGGATCAGCCATGCCCACCTGAAGCTGGGCAATATGGAAGGAGGAATATATTCCCATCACCTCAAGTATTCCATCATTGTAACTACAATGAAAATGACAATTATTTTGTAAAATACAGATCACAGTGCTCTTGTATGTAGGATAATTGTCTCATACCAACACACAAGTGTAATTCTGTCCTAAAAATTTCTTGACATATGAGAATCCCTGTTCTGACAATACACACCTGGGTGCTTTCAATTGTTTTTTCTCCTCATGCCCAGCTCCCCATGGCTGACACCCCCCTCCCCAGCTGCTGATATTCAAGATCACAATTGCTTCAATCTCAGGTAAATCTATCAACTGTCCATCCAGTTCCACCTGGGAGGAATCATTATTCATTTATTTAGTTCATAACATGTTCATATACATGTTTTTTTTAATATAGATAAAATATTTAGCATTGCATATTTAAGGTAACTTATTATTAAACAGGTATATATAGTAAAACTTGCTTACAGCCAAATGCCAAGGTTGAACAATTTTTATTCATTATAAACATAATTTATTTTTATCCAGTAAGTTTATAGATATAATACCTTTTATAAGCACAGGAAATAAAAATCACTTTGTTATAAGCACAAATTCATTATAAACATGTTTGCTGTTTCACTGTAGATGTATTCATGACCAATATTTTATGAAACGTACTTTGTTTACCAACATGCTCATCATGCCTCATGTATTATGTGTGAACATCAATATAAAACGATTTTTCTGAAGAAATTTTCTATTTAACATTGGATCAACTTATAAAGCATCATAAAAGTTAAGGACCATGCATACATGTAAGTAACTTTATTATAAAAGTATGAAGGTAATAAAGAATAATTTATGAAGGTACTACATCTTTTCAGAGAAGCTAGACATTAATACTAAACATATATCATATAAAAAGGTTATAATTACCTGAATTTTCTTATGTAGATTTTTACATTCATTCTCTAAAACATCCTTGGTCCCATAATAGAAGTAACAAAGCTACAAAGAAAAAAAATAAAGATTTATATCATAACATATGAGTTAATATATATATATATATATATATATATATATATATATATATATATATATATATATATATATATATATATATATATTAACAACATATGCCCCCTCATTTTTACAGAGTGCTATTCTTCAGACATATAGCAAGAGCTTATAACAGTTCAGATAGAAGTTTTTTGAAAGATGATGTCTGTCACACCTAGAAGAAAAAAATAGAAACTGAACTTAAATGTTCAACAAATGAATTCATTCTGCTAGTAATTCTTCTCACACGATCTGTCCAAAATGATTTGTTTCTTTGTCTTTACCCTAGATAGACTTTATTCACAAAGTTCATCAAAATTTATTAAATTTATTTTTCAATTTTATTCTAGTCATCATAAATGACTGGAAAACTGACAGAAAAGTGCAGATAAAAACAACCTACTTTAGACTTTGTTAAAACTTCAATTAGCCATTTGAGGCTTAGAGGTGCAAAGAATATTCTGGTCTATTTTGATCTGCATATATACAAGAACATGCATAGATGCACAAATTTTTTAGTTGGTTAGTAACCCCCCCTCCCCCCCCCCCAAAAAAAAAATCATTACAACTAGCTATTACCATTTATTCTCACATATTATTTTTTTTTTACCTTTCGACCATATCATTAGATAATTTAAAAAAACTAAGATAGTTTTTCTAACATTTGAAATAGATGAAAACATTATTTACCTTATTTATTAGTCTGTGTGCAAACAACCAAGGTTTTGATTCCCTCTGACGATGAAAATTCAACGTCACTAGTGCATCAACACCCAGAGAGCAGTAGTTGTTCATAATTATCTACAACATCAAAACATTTATATTCCTACACAGGTCATATAATATATCCATTTATAATACACTTAGTAGCAAATACACCAATTCCACACTGTGCAATAGGGCTGATGCCACGTACAATACCCCATATCAACAACCACTCCAAAAACCCGTACCACGTAACAGACTGGCATGCAAAAATGCATATCAAACTGGATATAGTTTTAAAGTTAACTATTTTAGATAGATGATAAATATGATACATGTACTATATACTTAAATCTATATCATGTCAAATCAGCATATGGGCTGATATGGGGCAGCTTTGAGTTGATATGACAATATGATACATCTGTATTTACTTATAAATGTAAGATTCTCTTTTGAGAAAGTTATCAAAATTACATGAAACTACTTAAAAATTGAGCATTTAGAAGACAAAGAACATTACTCACTTTCTTCACTTTTCCAATCACTTTCTTTGTATTAATTACCCGAACAGCCCATCTTCAAATAAAAATAATTAATTAAATAATAAATTAATCATTCTTTTTACACAACCTTGAATGTAAATTGTATCTAACCTTTACCACTGAATAACAATACATGTAATTGTTTTATCTGCAGATATCAGTAGTTTATGTTTATTTTTAAATGTATGTATGTAATTAAAAGAAACTTGAACTAAGGCACAAGAGGAGTGTATGAAAAATATTCTTTACCTGTCTAATTTGACAGGCTTAGCTTCCTGAAGTTTTCTCATAAAACTATTAACATCAAGATCTTCATGAGTGTAGCCCTCCCCCCAGCCTAACACACGAGACAAGTCATTTCCTGTCCCTAAGGGCAAAATGGCCACTTGAGGGGGGTTCTAAAGAAGTAAAAAAGTATATTTTACAGCAATTCCATTCTGAAAACAAAGGTAAAATAAACAACATTGCATTCTTCCACTTTAATAATGTTTTTGGTTAATATATGAAAAAATTGAGATGTCATATCTATGTTCTCATCCAAGATAGAAGCGCCATTTGGCAAAAGAAAATTTACTGTCAAATTTCACTTTCCATGTAAAAATTTTAAAATTAATCATTATTCAAGAATTAAAACTGAAAAATAATAGTAAATGATAAATCAATACCTGTAATTTTAAAGACTCTATGGCATTCAGTACCCAGCCAATGGTTCCATCACCACCACAAACTAACACTCGAAAAGTGATAGAGGGAAGTAATCGACACCATTCTAATGCATGCTCTGGAGAATCATCATTTAAATCTATAACCTTTCAAAGTAAGTAGAAAAATAATTTTAAATACTTTAAAATAACCATAATTTGATTGAAATAAAATAGGGTGCAAACTATCTGTTTTCCAATAACAAAAAAAAATATTTCGTAGTACCTGTGTAGGGTTCAGCAATGTTTTGAAAGATCTTAGAATATACTCTCCATCATTATTGCCACTTTTACGATTTCCTATCACAAGTAAAGGATTCCAGTTCTTAATGTCTGGAATGGAAGCTTCTTTAATTACAAGTCGTTTACGACCTTTCATTCCAACACTTTTCAACTTAATACAAGTTGGTGGTATTATGGCAGTTTTGTTAGGTCCTAAATCACAAAAGTCAGACTTAGGAGCGCACTCTTCATGCACAGTTTGTTGGCACCAAGCACATTTTCTATCACAGATATGAGGCAGAGTTCCACAGTCCTCATTACATGTGAAGCACTTACTATACAAGGGGAGGTTACCCTGCACCCAGTAATGTTCAAGTCTTGAACCTTCAACAGACACTGGTTTACAAGGAATTTTTTTATTGGCTTCCTTCATGTTGTGATCATCAACACAAATTCCACAGCTGTCACAGCGAGCACCATGTTTAATTTTATTGTGACCAATGTTACAGTATGTTTGTTCAGGAAACTCATCCACCATGTAGAACTTGTGCCCTTTTGTTATGTCCCTAGCTGGTACCTCATAATGCTGTAGCCTATAATGTCTGTACATCTGCATCAGGAGGAATATTATAACCAGAATTACTACAAAAATCCCAAGCAACAGTAAGGAGTCCATTTTCTGAAAGAGAAAATCAGAAATCATGTCCATGTACCTACATCCATGGCTACATGTATATGTTTGAGATTCATACCTTTCAACTGCTGGTATATAACTACTGCTATCATCAGGTAAATATAATGTATGCTTTAAGCAGTCAGCCCAGCCATCTTTCTTAAGTACAAAATGTACTGCCATAGAACTGCCAATTTGTACCAGGCATTAATTGAGTTCGATAGCATTATCTTTCTTTTACATTCCTTTTTTCAACATCTAAAAAATATTTATAGTTAATTTTGACGTCTTGTCATTTCCATTGATATTCTAGCTAAACTTCTTGGACAATTTTGATCAAAATTAGAAAATATCTGCAATGTTTTTAATTGATGTACTTATGAAAGAATTAAGTTATATACAGAACAGCACACAATACTCTGTAACATTTACTAATTATGTACATGATGGTAAAGGTATGCACTGGTACACAATCTGTGTATCAATCATTCCATTTCTTGCTTGGTTCCAAGTTGAATATGGTAAGAGAATTCTACCATATTTTACGAGTAAACATCTACTATTAAAACGTGATAAGAAGAAATATCGTAAAATGTATTATAAATTTCAAATACAGCATAACCAGGTAAATAAAAATTTAATTAGCTAATACTGCGGCTACAGGATGCTGCCCGCTATCATTCACAAAAGGAAATAAGGTTTACATTAAAATTTATATTTTTACCCGTTGATACACGTGGAAGTCATACCTGTATAACAAGCACACTCCTTCGAGATTTACGTCACTGTCGGTAACATTTCATCATGTCGTCTGCTCTATGATTCAAGAATCTGCTACAATTGTCTTCCAATGTTATTCTTTTACTAACACGTTTTAAAAACGTGATAAATACATGATGCTTAAATATAAATTTCTGACAGACATTGCTAATGAACTCGAAATGACTTTTTTTTTACCTCTTGAAGATAAAATTACTCCTTACATACACAAACCGGAAAACAAGCGCGAACCGCTTCTAATAAAAGCAATATGAGAGAAGAAAAAATTCCGGAATAATCAGAGCTCCATTGAAGAGTTCCAATTCTCATACAAGGACATAAAGAACCATTAACATGTAGTTATGTCTCTGTTCCATTGTAGTTTTATGCTGTTAAGTAATATGCTCTAAGATCATGGCCGTAGGAACCGGGGAAGGCACGGGGGGGGGGGGGGGGGGGGGGGCGTGCCCCCAATAATTTTGCCGATATATAGATGACTATAGAAAATTTAGCTCCCCTCAATAAAAACGTCTGATGACCTTTTTTTTGTTTGTCAAGGAATTTTTGGTAGTTGATAGTGCCCCCAACTGAAAGTGTATGGCTGTGCCCCCCCCCCACCCCCCCAACTGAAATTGCTTCCTACGGGCCTGAAGATGTAAAGTTCTGTAGTAAATGACGCGACTTGTAAAAGATTAAAGTTAAACATAATAAGATGAAGATAAAGATGAAGATAAAGAAATGTGATCATTTTATCAGAAATCCTGCAAAAAATACGAAACATAAGTAGGTCAAAATCACTAACCCCTGGAAACACCAAAGTGGGATCAGGTGCCTTGGAAGAGTAAGCATTCCCTGTCGACCATTGGTCACACTCGCTGTAAGCCCATGTATTCCTCATAATTTGTACAAACATTTGGAACGAAACGTCAATCAAACGATAGACTGTTTATATAAGCAAAGCCATTAAAACATTCGCATAATTTGCGAAATGGTGACTTTAAAAGAGATTGTGGAACACCTTGTACATCAACTTATATGTCAAAGCCTGCCTTTGTTTAAAAAAATTGATCGCACACAGAATATGTTCTTGCATTAAAAAGCTGAAGTCATCGCATTTGTGTTTATAAGTTTGTTCCTTGGTCATTAACGTATATAGTCTCTAAAATCATATGCACCAGACCCTGTTGTCTTTTATTTCGAGTTCACTGGGATATATCGAGTCGATATATAAAACGAAAAATACTTTTGTTAATTGATAAGTAATTGATAAGTAATCAACACTGATTTCTGTTTATTAATACTTCATTGTCTGAGATTACTTCTCTTCAGGAAGTATGGCAGGCATCCAATGTTGAAAATTAATTAAATAAACTCAGTAGGAACATGTACATCTGTATTTGAAATATTTTTTCTCAAAACATTTTTATTAGTGTTTTAAGCATCTTTATGCATGAGGCCATGAGAAAGTGAACTTTGTATAGAACTTTATGTACTTTAAGTAAACTTTTACTAACTTTAAGTTAGATTTCATTATCAAGCTTTTGTAAGGAAGGGGTTTAAAGATAATTACTGTATATCTTTTAAATAAAAATCGTATAAAATTAGATACTTCATTTTCAAGACAGAGAAACTATATATTGTCATGGCTATAGCCATTTTGCCATAAGCTATTTTTACGAAACACACATTAATTCGAAGTAAAACTCAGTAAAATAAAAATCGTCGCATTGATTCCAGGTTCAATTCAGACAAAAGAAATGAAAGGAGAAAAAAGGCCTATTGAAATATATTTCTGAGGAACAACATTGACGCACCCGAAATACCATTAATGACATGTTAAATGCAATTTTTGATAATACGGTGCTCAATGGGCGCGCAACAATTGAGACACGCGTGCAATAAGTAAATTTAAATCTCCAATAGTAATTAAATGTAGACGGACTGGAAATGAAATTTAAGGAATATACATTCACTTCGAAGATATTTTTGTCAAGTTTACAGATATAGATATATATGTGCCTAGAAGAGGCTATTAGTGTATATACGGTCGATAATTAATGAAAGTTTTCGGTACAAATTGCCGTATCATTATGTCTATCGATACTTTCTATTTAACTCAACTTATTGTACAAATTGCAAAAGGGTTTTCTTTATTCCAATAGGATTAATTGTTAGTGATTTTCGTCTGTTGAAATATCGTTTCACCGCTTTTTGAGGTCAGGGGATTAGGATTAGAAGGCCATATACAAACGGATCGTCTTGGCGCAGAGCAGCCTATACAGCATGGAAACAGTGCGATTTTTTTCGACAATCCTCGTCGAAGAATCCAGTTTTGTTACACTATTGCACTTCGTTTGACAGATTTTAAAGTCAACAAAAATGTATAGCTCTAAGCCAAAGAACTTTTAAGAACATTTTCATGTGAAAAAAATATGACATCCGTATTGGATCTTAGTAATTGTTTACCACTACGTACCCCGAGAAGTTGGGATATTCTACAAAAACGACCCCAGAACAGTGAATTCCGAAAGAACAATAACAAGGACAAAAGATTACTTCCGCTGTCTATACTGGTCAAAATCAAAGGTCCTCCGAAACTTGTGGACTCCTATACAAAGAACATGGGACCTACTCCACGACCAGAAACAAGAGATTTTGCACTCACCGCGTCTTGCACTCCTGTCAACATTACAGTTTTCTCAGACGTCAGGGCAAATTTGATGAGAGACAAAGATAAAAAAGGTGCGCTAATTCTTAGACCCGCCTTACAACAAAGTAAGCAAATCCCTGGTAGATATTTCCCTAAAGCTGCTCTAACTGAAGAGCAACAGAAATTTATTGTTGGAAAAGATCGCGAGAATGACCGAGAACGCACAGAACAAACCTCAGCTACAAGTCTTGTTTCGAGCAGAGGTAGGGGGTTGTCTCGGGGTACCTCGGATGGGCTTAGTCGCCAATCCCGTCGAAATTTTACGAATTCTGTGAATCCAAGAATACTTCATACAAGAAAGACTCTCTTTGATCGGGAGGACCGACAGAACCCTTTGTTTAGTTACAGCTTCAAAAGCACTTCTGTAGCCGGCCATTTTGTCGGGGATTCTCTAGAGGCAGACGGTTCGAAAAAAACGTCTACATTCGGTAGGCACGTCACGTTCCCAGAGAAGACATTAGTGTTCCACGAAATGTTGACTGGAACAACTAAAACCTTACATGAACGGAAGGAGGTGCAGTCTGCCCCCTCTAGTGATCAACTAGTCCCGGAAGCCGTTACCGATGGTGCCAAAGAAGAGCCACTTCCTGTTTCTGCGTGATAACTATTTCATGACACGTGTTAAAATATACGACGTAAAATTATACGTGTTCTGAAGTCAAATGTTTGGGAAACTGGATACATTAATGAATGTACATATCTTTGATCTCTTTGCTTGTTTCGAACTTCTACTAGAGTGAGACAAGAAAACTTTGAAATATGTACAGTCAAAAATCCTATGCAGTATATTTTTTATGTACGTTTTGTAATGTATATGGTTACATCTTGTTAAGGATTAAATAAAATCGCGTTGGTTCGTTCAGATCATTTTCGTTTTAGACCTGTAATTAGTCTGAGGTTACTGACATCAAACAAGGTATGGATTAAATGTCATGCGTTTCCTTCGCAGTTTAATATAAATCTTTCAAACTCTATGGGTAGTGTTCTTTTGGCAAATGTTTGTATTCAGTGGAGTATATTTGTTAATATTAAATGAAACGCTCAACTGTGTTATTGTAAAAAAAAAATCTAAATAAAATACTAAATACCTATAAACTGCATTGTATCTTTGGCATCAATTCTTGCAAGCTCAATTAATTGTATTTATATTTATATATACTCAAATCAAACATCAAAATAAATCTGAAATGTTGAAGCACATGTTTTGTTAACAAAACTTAAATCAAATATATTTATTAGAATTGAATTATACAATTTCCATGCTATTTTCCGGACTATGTTAAGTTTCTTCTTGATAAAACGATCTATTCAGCATGCACGTTTTCATTATTTTTCTTCAAATGTTCATCAAAGAATCCATACCTGATTTTATCTTCTGATTCCTTACATCTAGAGTTATACTGAGGGTTCTGTTGCAAGTGGATCACACCTTGCTACATTTCAGCAGGGACAGGTTGATATCCTTTACAAACATACCGGTATATACTATTATTACTTTGCAAGCACAAGACATATCGCTAACTGTAGCAATGAATGCTCGACACATGAGAGATCTAACTTGGTCATTCGGGTCAAAGCCTTCTTCAGTAGCCTGAATATGTCTTTTAACACTTTGCCCTACTTCAACTACTTAAAAATGGACATCCTCGGATCCCAAAAAGTACTGTAAATAAAAGAAACCCGAAACCTTCCTCTCTCATAATGACAACCACAAGAAATGGGCCATTATAACACCACCTTTTAATATTTGAGTTGGACCCCACCGCCACCACCACAAAAAAGTATATTCTGGGCTAAAATAATCTTTGCATGCTGCCCAATACCATTCACCCTTAAAGTGTTTATGTATACGTGAACTAATCCACACTATTTTCTTGGGTCACCCTGATGAAATCTCTGAAAGTAAGCCTAGGTGTATCAAAAGAGGAAAACAAAACCAAAAAAAAAGATTAATGATTTCAAGTAGCCTCTGTCAGTAAATCCTGTTGTACCTTAGTACCTTAAATTCCTATTGTTACTTATATCTCTGAAGACATCAAAAGATATCTTGGGTAAGATGAAAAAAATGCAATACTGGATAATACCAAAGGTGTGTAATTAAATGAAACTTTTATCACCGAAAATTATTTCCTATAGCAATAATTTACATGTAACTCTGAATTAATAGTACCTTTGTTGTCACTTTGAAAACTTTGATTTACTTTGGTGATAATTAATTTGAACATTTTACTTATACTAAGTGATACTATGACACTTCCATTTACTAAAGTGATCACTATGATTCGATAGTGATAACTTTTAAGACTTTGATTAACTATGGTGATAACTTAAACAACTTCAGTTACTATAGTGATCACAATGACACTATAGTGAAAACTTTGATACTTTGATTTACTATAGTTATCGATAGTATACACTTATCCACTGACTGTGAGTGGCATGGGAAAAGTCTTTTATAAAAAGTTAAAAAGCGTTATAACGTCAATATAGGCGTAATAACGCGGAAAAAAGGCGAAATCACGCCTTTGGAAAAGGCATAATTACGCCTTTGGAAAAGACATTATTACGCCTTTCCAAAAGGCGTTATTACGCCTTTCAAAGAGGCTTTATAACGCCTTTCGAAAATTCGTTAATTTTCCTTTGAATAGCCGTTATTATGTCTTTTGGCAGGCCTGTTTTTGAACAAGGGGGGGGGGGGGGCAGCCTCTCGGCCCACAAAAATGACAAGCAAAAAACAAAACAAAAAAAAACAACAACAACAAAAACTCAACCAAAAAAAAAACCAAACAAACAAGAACCAAAAAAATACTAAACTGCCTAAACTCAAAAATCCTATTTCGGGGAGGGGGGATGGTAGAGGGAACTTTTTCTAATGTTTCGGTCAAACCTTTTTTAAACGCAATAATTTGCCAGAGTTCGATCATACTGCAACAACATGTGCAGGGACCAAGCAGCCAGTAAATAATTTTTTTTTTCAAATTAAACTACAGCTAGATTATTCTCCCAAAAGATGGGTTGGGGTTGGGACACCCCCCCCCCCCATTCCACGTGCACTACCGGTCTGTTTGAAAATGCGTTATATAGCGACAAGTGCAAAGGCGTTATATTATGTTAATAATTATCCGAATGATTGAATCAAAGCAATTTTCAATATATATGCAATATTTAAAAATATCATCTATACTCCTGCACATATATCACAGACAACTGTTTGCATGAGTATTAAAAGAAGTCAATAATCTATTTGTGAAAATCCAGGATTTAGCCAGATGCAGCTTGGGGCTTTGTGCTGGTCATATATAAAAATTTCATTTCAAATTTGAAAATCTTTTTCTTTCCTCTTGGAAAAAAGCAGGCAAACTATTTGCATGTGTATAATGAGCAATGACCCTTGGTAGAGGTGTCTGGCATGAGAGAAGGACTAAGTTGGTTTAAAGCTATATATGGCGTGTCTGAGCTAAAAAAAAAAATAAAAATAAAAATACGATTTGAGTGTAGATAAACATGAAACATGTTATTTACGTTCAAATTAAAATTTTCACCGATTTTTATCTATTTGAACTTGAATAACTCATGTTTCCATGGTTGAATTGACTTTAAACTGTGTATGATATTTAATGCGGAGTCGGTAAATAAATCAGTTATTATACCCCCCTCCGAAGGAGAGGGGGTAACTGTTTTACCCTTGTGTGTCTATCTGTCTGTGTGTCTAGCTGTCTGTCTGTCCGTAACAAAATTTGGTCGCAGTTTTCTCAGCAACTACTCATCGCAGGTGCTTGAAATTTTAGCACACTCTTTGTTTAGGCATGCCATATGGTGGGATTCATTTTTGTACCAATCTGATGTCAACTTCCTGTTTATCCGTGCGTCTGTCCGTACCATACATAACAAATTTTGGTCGCAGTTTTCTCAGCAACTACTCATCGCAGGTGCTTGAAATTTTAACACACTCTTTGTTTAGGCATGCCATATGTTGGGATTCATTTTAGTACAAATCCGATGTCAACTTCCTGTTTATCAGTGCATCTGTCCGTCTGTCCGTAACAAATTTTGGTCGCAGTTTTCTCAGCAACTACTCATCGCAGATGCTTGAAATTTTAGCACTCTTTGTTTAGGCATGCCATATGGTGGGGTTCATTTTTGTACGAATCCGATGTCAACTTCCTGTTTATCCGTGCATCTGTCCGTACCATACATAACAAATTTTGGTCGCAGTTTTCTCAGCAACTACTCATCGCAGGTGCTTGAAATTTTAACACACTCTTTGTTTAGGCATGCCATATGTTTGGATTCAATTTAGTACAAATCCGATGTCAATTTCCTGATTATCACTGTGTCTGTTCATAACTGAACTTGTGTATTCACATCAGAGCGGGGGTATTATTACATGTAGTGAGCATTGGCTCACAGACTTCTTGTTGTTTTAAATTTCTAATACATGTATCTTTGAAACATGATTGATTTAAATTGTGTAATTTACAGGAGGAAAGTCCTATCTTTATAAAAAGTAATAAATCAAAAAGAAAGATCTTTTTAATTTAAGTTAGTCTGAACTTATAAAAAATATAATAGTATGACTTTAAAAAGGCGTTATAACGCCTTTTAAGCCTTTTTTTTCTTTCCATAGATTGATCCTAATAGGCTTTCGTAACTTTACCCTCTTAACTTTATAGATGAAATAATTTAAAAGAAGTATAATTATCTGTAGTTTACTATTTTTGTTATATTATTTTAGTTGACAAATAAATTGATTAAATGGTTAGTGTGTACAAAATATAGTCAACTAAATGAAGAAATAAAAGACGTTTCTATCATTGTTATATTCTTTTATTTCAAAAAGCATGATCATGCAATCTTATGCAATCCATTTATTTTTTCTTGTTACAGTATAATAAAACAATCCCTTGCTTTCTTTATACAGTGAATTGTCAGACTGATTTTCATTGATAGTATTGTATCAAATAAGAAATATTTATCATTCTGTCCCCAATCACAGGCACATGAAAATGTATTACGCAAGATGCAAATAAAGTCCCAAAACAACTTGAAAAAAATCCAACCCCTCTTTATAGAAAAACATGCTTAAATATTTAGACGGGTAGGATTTTTTTTTATCTAGGGCTTTATTGCAACTTAATGATGGATTGTTAAAAATAAAATAATTCAATTAAAATCTAGGTTTTACTTTCAAGTCACTTTAATTAAGATTGATGTTTACACTTTGGACGATTGATACCGTTTAAAAAAAACACAACATAACACATCACACCTTTATATCATATTAAACTCTTCGAAGAGCTTCTGATAAGTTGTGCGATTTTTACATGTAAACAGCCCTTCTTAAAAACTACTTTTAAAGTGACTTAAATCTACAGTACTTTATTTTTAACAATGCAGAAGAGGAGCCCCTATGCTTATTGATAAAATTTCAGGCGACTTTGCCCAAATTCACTTCATTAAAAGTAAACGCTTTAGAATACTGGAATCTACGTACGTGAGTTCCTCTTTCCGGCTTTCAATGAGTTGTTCGTGACCCATGAATGATAATTTCGTCTTGGTCGCAAAGAGGTTTTACTTCTATTCCATGAGAGTGTGTTTTTAAAGTTGTAAATCTACATTGAATGTCAGACATGAACATCGTTGGACACTTTGATCGAGACAAGGAAAGGGCTTTGACAGGTGTAGATTTGAGCAGAAAAGGATCAATTGACGCTAGAATCCAGTCGTTAGTCTCAGTCTTGAATACGTCAACCGATTTCTTTACGACGAGTTCCTGTTCTGGAAGAATTATCATTTTTGATGATGATGTGAGTGCTTACCACTGACCACCACAGAATATATTTTCTGACATGGTGCCCAGGGATGGGGTAATTGAAAAAAGTAATTGTAATTGACTATAATTAATTACATTTTTTGAAGTAATTGGAAGTAATTTGTAATTGAACATTTTTTCAATTACTTGTAATTGTAATTTAATTAATTACACTGAAAAAATACCATGTAATTTCAATTACTTTTTCAATTACATTCAATTACTTTATATAATACACATTCATGATATATTCATGATATATCATCACCACTACCTGGTGCCATCAGTTATTTTTCTTTCTTTCTTCCTTTCTAAGAAAAAGCTTAACCACAGGTGCTTGTTGACAGCAACACCCCTTCCATTCATGCACACCATAGGACTTTCTTGGACTTTTGTGCAATTGTAGCTGCAGGTCTGTAGCTCACTGATCTGAAAATATTGGGATGGACAACCAGAGATCTACAGTGCCACCCATTGAAAAAAGTGTACATGTCCATACCATTTTTTTTTTCAGACCAGCAAGCTACAGATCTGCAGTTAGGACTTTTGATGAAAAATTATATATATAACAAGTAAGATAAGTTCAGATGTTCATAGAATATTACATTATTCCATGCAAAAAGTCTGGAAAAAAATCTCAGGATCATTCTATTAAAAATGTGCACTAACTGCATTTAATAAAGATGGATTGTTCATTTGGGAACCCTCTCGCTTAGCTGCATGGCTAAGGCATAATAAAAAATATGTTTGTTTACGGTTACATGCTGAAATAAAATAGGGTCGGTAGGTAGGATTTTTTTTTTATTTTATTGAATTTTTTTATACACAAATTCATGTGAATTGGTTGAAATATAAATCAGTTTTACCATTGTGTGGTGCTTTCCTTTTGTTTTGGGTTGCCATATGGGCTATAGACACGGTCTGACATGACCACATTGATATAAACATGCCATTTGGTTTTCTAGTACTTTCGGTTTGACCGATTAAGATGCATGTAAAAGTTAAACTGACCGACGAGTGACTTCTGAATTTTTACGACGAAAAAAAATTTGGAGATCAATTTTTTTCCGTACTGCTAGTCCAATGGACTATTGTTACATTTAAATTAGCTAGCCCGAGTCTTAAAATGACTAGCCCCAGGCGTCGGGCTACCGTATATTTCAACCCCTGTCAGCGATTAAATATAGGGTCGGTTGGGTAACCGTAAACAAACATATTTTTTTATTACGCCTAAATAAAACATGTATATACCTATTATATATCAACTGCATTTAAATACAAGTAGTTGAGGAAAAGGTACCACTCCATGTTTGTTCAGAATTTGGCTTCCCCATCCTTTTTTGGTTAGCAAACTAAATTTAATGTATGTTTACTTCGATCATAACAGATATGTGCCTGTCAGTATGGGTCCTGTCCACAAGTACTGTAAACTCAATATAGCTGCAGCCAATAGTTTTGAAAGTAAATATAGCTAATGAAATTCATATACAGTAAAGAATATCTGCAGTACAAAAAATGTTTGAATCAGATTGTCAGATGACCAATGTAGATTAATTTTGGGTCATCTAGAAGAAATGGTATCAATGATAAGATGACAAGTGAGGGTATCAAAACTCTGTTCATCTTCGCTAGCCAAGGGCTTCTGATACGCTACTCTCCTCATAAGTTTATGAGGAGAGTAGACCCTTGGCTAGCGAAGATGAACTCTGTTTTGAGAAAATGATTGATCTAAAAGGTATTCAAAAAACTAGTGAATCAACTTTTCAATAGAAAATATCAAAAAATTTTAAAAAATGTGATGTTGGAATAATTTACTAAAAACATATTGCTGGACCTGAGCAACTGGTCAAAAAAGTGCCAAATTTAGCAACAGTATATAATTATGAGGACCTCTGCATTGTACAAAGTAGTTTGATTTTTTGTATTGGTTTGTATCCCTGTAATTCTGCACACATTACAAGGTCAAGTGGATTGTACTACAGTCAGTGTGCATGCTGTAACCCTAATCCTAACCCTACTTCTACGTGAAATAACTTCAGTTGATGTGGTTAGTATTTTAGTAACATAGCTGCATATGACAGGGTTTAAAATCTGTTGCTGCACCAATGTGGGAACAGTAATTCAGGTCTGTTTTCTATACTCATCTATCTTGTAATAAAGATCATTAAGATTGATCATTCAAATGAAACATGTTTAAATTGAAAGAGAAAACAATTTTGTTTAATTATATTTTTTCAAATAGTGAGCACATTGTTTATACTTTTGGCTCATAAGAGTTGCAAGGCTGTGGTCCCAAATAACTAGATGTGTTTTACAAATTTGCAATATGCATACTTCTTCAAAAGGGGGGGGGGGGGGGCGTTACCAAATGTCGAAAATTGTTAAATGTGTAACAAAGTGGAAATACACTGTGCTTAAATGAAAAAAAAAATCATTGATATAGTATTGCTGCTAGATGAACATTGCAAGTTACTTTAATAGATTTGTATGGATTGATTTTTACAGTTACATGTATAAGAAAAAGGACATAACAAATACAATCATGCAAGATTACTTTAATACATCTGTATATATGGATTGATTTTTTCAGTTACATGTATAAGAAAAAGGGCATAACAAATAAAATCATGCAAGATTCCATATTTTTGTAGAATAAAGACAGAAGTAAGTCTGTTAAGAAGAAAGGTTGTCAATGGTTGTACACAACACATGATGAAGCAGTTTATGATGCAGCTGTGAGTACTATCTATTACTAGTATAAAAATATTTACATTTTCAAATGTCTTTCCAAAATAAAAGTGCAAGAAGGGAATAGCTTTATACCTTCATAAAGCCATTTGCTCAAATGACAGAACTTCCTTCTTTGCTGTGTTTGGCTAAGAAGTACAATATATGGGACTTGCAGACTTAAATTTCTAATAAATAATTAAAAATAATGTAAATATATCATTTTTTTATGGAATCAAGGATCAGGTATAAATGTAAATGTAAGAAATAACGGGGGGGGGGGGGGGGGGTTATGATGATGATCACACAGTTTGCTCTCGTGACAACTTTATGCATAAGGCCACACCAATTTGTAAAATAGTTCCTCGGATTTTCAAAAATAAAAAGTGAGACGAGAGGGCAAAATAATTTTACAAATATTATTTTTCATTTTGGAGTTTAAAATTATTAGGCGAGCGAATACAAGTAATATAAATTAAGCATGATTTCAAAGAGCGAGCGCTTAAAAAATAGACTTCAAATTATTAGATATCATTTGTATACCACATGAACTTATGATTTTTAACTTTTTGGATATTGTTTTCAATAAATAAAAAAGTCGCCCGCGTAGTGCAGTGGTTAGAGCGTCTGCTCTAGAGTCGCGACGTAAGGAGTTGATCCCACTGTGGGACGTGGAGACCGGTCCTTCGGATGAGACCGTATAAACCGAGGTCCCGTGTCGCAGAAGGTGCTGGCACGAAAAAGATCCCTCACTGCTCAATGGCCGTAAGTGCCGAGTATAGGACAAAATTTGCAGCTTTCCACCGGCAAGTGGTGGCGTCTCCATATGTGTGAAAAATTCTCGAGAGGGTCGTTAAACAACATACAAACAAACAAACAATAAATAAAAAGTGTCAGGTTTCAAAGACTTTATTTTCATAACAAGTAAAGTTTTGCTACACTAAATAAGGTCTTTTTGAAGAATTTTCTCTCCAATTTGTTGCCCATTCTATCAATTTATTAAATACATTCAGCTGTCTCGTTTGCCTGTAATTTTTCCAGGGAGAGAATGATTTCTGGAAGCTTTCATAAAACGTGAAAATGCGTCTACTTTCTGTTTGCATGTTTTGAATGAGGTACGTGTTACATTGCAGTTCAGTTTCATTTCTACAAACGTTCTGTTCAGTTCTGTGCAAATTCCTAGGGACATGTCCGGTTTTAAAATCTCAATTACATCGCTCTTAGATTTTTTTTATTTTGATAGAGCAAACATCATCAATATTCACCAAACCTTGCGTGGACTTTTCGATGTTCTCTTTATAGTAACATTGAACTGCGCTTCAAAAGTTTCCTTGGCTTCTAGTTCGATTGCAGTATAAGGAAAAAATTCACATCCCCCTTTTTTTAACTATTGACGTATCGTACATAGTAACAATGTGTGAAGTTTTTCACAATGCCTGTCTACTCTTTATATTGACGTATCGTACATATAAAGAGTAGACAGGCATCGTGAAAAACTTCACACATTGTTACACAGTGTGAGTTACGAAGTACGAACTTTCTCAATCCCGTCTTTCTGTCATTCCACACCACGAGTTCCGAAGTCTTTTGTGCATTTGGTGTAAAAAGTAAAAAAAAAAAAAGTACTCGGATATTCTTGGATGACATATTTTTATGCCCCGCCATGAATATGGTCAGGGCATATAGTGTTTGTCATGTCTGTCTTTCGTCCTTCCATCAAGCTTTGCGTTTAGCTCAGTTCAAAACTCAGTTTCAAAGAAACTATCCAAAATATTTTTATCAAACTTTATATGCTGATAGATATTGATGAGAGCTATGCAATGGCATCAACATTTTTTGACCTTGACCATTCCTTTGACCTTGACCTCACTTTTCCTAAATTAGTGTTTAGCTCAGTTTTAAAGATACCATTCAGGATAGTGATATCAAACTTCATATGTTGATACATACTGATGTAAGCTATTCAACTGCAGCAACATTTTTTGACGTTGACCTTTCCTTTGACCTTGACCTCACTTTTCTTAAATTAGTGTTAGTTCAGTTAAAAAACCATTCAGGATAGTGTTATCAAACTTCATATGCTGATAGATACTAATGAGAGCTATTCAACTACATCAACATTTTTTGACCAGGACATTTCCTTTGACCTTGACCTCACTTTTTTAAATTAGTGTTAAGCTCAGTTTTAAAGAAACCATTCAAGATAATTTTATCAAACTTCATATGCTGATACATACTGATGTAAGCTATTCAACTGCATCAACATTTTTGGCCTTGACCTTTTGTTTGACCTTGACCTCACTTTTCTGTGAAATTAGTGTTTAGTTCAGTTTTAAAGAAACCATTCAGGATAAAGATATCAAACTTCATATGCTGATTCATACTGATGAGAGCTTTTCAACTGCATCAACATTTTTTTTACCTTGACCTTTTCTTTGACCTTGACCTCACTTTTCTTAAATTAGTGTCAAACTTCATATGCTGATACATACTGATGTAAGCTATTCAACTGCATCAACATTTTTGACCTTTACCTTTCATTTGACCTTGACCTTAATTTTATCAATTTGTGTTTAACTCAGTTTTAAAGAAACCAATCATAATATTTTTATCAAACTTCATATGCTAATACATACTGATGTAAGCTTTTCAACTGCATCACCATTTTTTGAACTTGAACTTTCCTTTGACCTTAACTTCACTTATTTTAAATTAGTATTTAGCTCTGTTTTAAATAAACCATTCAAAATATTTTTATCAAATTTAATATGTTGATGCATATTTGTGAGAACTGCATCAAAAATGTTTGACCTTGAATTTTCTGTGACCTTGACCTCATTTTTCTTAAATTTGCATTTTGCTTGTAAGCCTATGCACTTATACATAATTTGGTGAGAATTTATCATCAATATCCAACTTTTTAGATTTCAATTTTAAAGAAACTATTCAAGATATTCTCATCAAATTTCATACACTAATACAAATTTTCATGTTGGATTACTAACATACCCTCGGCGGGGCATTCATTTCCTATGGACGTATTTCTAGTTCTGATAATGTTATAATTTGGATTTGTTACAAATAGAAGCAGCGAATCCGACGAACTATATTGCAATTTGGTATGGCCTAAATGCCTTATGCAAATTATCATGAGAGCAAACTGATTGATCACATCATAAAACAAATAAACTAGACACTTCTTCCTTAGAGGCAATGAATTTGTTTAAACCATGGCAACTGGAATTTCATTCTCTGAACAGATTGGCAGTGTAAAAATGCAAAGATTTTGTAATTTATTATTAGACATAACGTTTTGTTGACCTTCTAAATAATAGGATTTAAGTTATTAGTTTTACAATTCCATCAATAAATTTGAATTTCTTATGTATCGATGTATCATATTGACCCCCTCAGCATCACAATACAATGATATATCAATGTATTGTTACACTCCTAATGAAAACAAGATACAAAACAATTGTTTATGGTCATCAAATTTTGTTTTTATTATTTTTCTTGATTTCTTGTTTTGATTTCTGTTATGAAGTTTTGTGTTCATTTTCAGTTGGAGAGCCTTCAGAACTTGACAGGAGACTCAGTGTTAAAGTTTGAACCATTTGTTTTACATGTACAGTGCAGATCCCTTAGTAATGCACAGTCAATGGCAAGTATCAAATTTGTACAAAATAATTATTTAAATTTTCCTTGAGCAATTTATTTTTATGTTCAATTTTTAAGTAGCCCAAAACAGTGAAAACACACTGTAGACCCTTAGAGTATATTTCATGGTTGCTTTTAAATTTCTTGGTTACAGTTAAGTTGTGCAGTGGCATCAGGATTTAGGAACTCAGGTATAAGTATTGGAAACAAAGGAAAGATAATTGTGGTAAGTAAAGCTACAGACTTGTGTAAAAAAGTCAGTGTGAGTGAAGGTACAGAATTGTGTAAAATAAAAGTTGGCATGAGACTTGTACAGACTTGTGTGAAACAGAAGTTAATTGGTGCGAGTGAAGGTACAGACTTGTGTAAAATAAAAGTTTGTTTGAAAGGTTATTTTTGCAGCTGGAATTTTTTATTATTTTAGTGGGTATGTCATCATTTACTCGTATTTGAAGTTAAGTTTTTAAAATTATCAGCAGTCTGCAATTTAGGTTAATTAAAATAGCTACCTATGAATAATTCAAGATTTTTCAATTTAATAATGACAATGGTTCAGTGGATATTTTGGTGATATCTTGACAGGCTGTGAGAAGTACACATGGGCTAGAGGTCCCTCTCTCTCAAGATGGAGAGCTACTTGTTACAAACACGGTAATTTAGTTGTATTTTTTTTTTTTGCTTAACACTGTTTTGATTTTTTATGAAAAGAAGTTACTGAAATGATGGTATATTAAACTGACTGGGAATGTTAAAATCAATTATTGGTGATATTGGTATTTTATCAAAACTACATTAAGTAATGCTGAGTTCTTCGCAGAAAATTCTTATTTTGGTACATATTTGTTAATTTTTTGAGACATGATTACCTAAAACTACTAGATTCAACATCATTAATTTACTATCTGGGTATTTTAATAATTGTGTTAGAAGCAAAGAACAGTTAATAGGATATATTTTACGATTTTGATACTGGATTATATCTTTATTTTATATCTTTATATCACCCGCTTGAAAAGAGGGCAATGTATAGTGCTGGGGTGTCCGTCTGTGTGTATGTCTGTCCATCTGTTATGCTTTGGAGTACCCATCTCTTATCAGCAACTTCTCTTATACCACTGAATATAATTTAATGAGACTTTCACAGCATCTTTGTTACATAGTACCACTGTACACTCTTATTTTACTTTTTTAATCTGACACATATTTCAGGTTTCCCTTAGCAAAACATAGACACTGGCATTCTTCCTATAATATTGAGGGTACCAATCTCTTATCCGCAACTCCTCCTATACCACTGAATAAAATTTAATGATACTTTCACACAATCTCTATTACATGGTGCCATTGTGCACCTTCTACTTTATCTTTTGATCAGGCAGACATTTGGGCTTTCCAATAGCAAAAAATAAACTTTGCCACTATAATCATAAGGGAGGTGGGGGATATCATTTTGTGTGGTCACTGCATACAGTATCACTAGTTTTGTTTATTTTCTCTGACTTTATACTTTATCAATTAAATTAAATCAGGTTAACTCTATTGCAGTACATAGAAAGGCTTATAGAAATTGCCAACACAAAGATCCAAGAAAATTTCTTAAGAATTGACAGGTAAGAGTTCAATATGACACACAGGTGAGCGGAAATGTACTTTTTTTTTCTTTCTTAATTATTTAATTATATTGCTTCTATGTGATTTTCAGATTCTACAAGAATGTCAGTATATTGATAGAAACATTAAAACATGATCCTATAAGTGGCAACATAGTAAATAAACCGAATGTGGTTAAAAAGAAAAAGAAGTGTGAGAAAATTGAAGGCAGGCATCATGCTGATCATTCTGTAAAGGAGAATTCACAGTCTAAAGAGCCAAGTGAAATTATCTGTGAAGATTTGTCACAATGTTCACTCTTTGAAAGTGTGACTTGAGAAAAAAAAGTTTCATTAAAAGATTAGTTAACAAGTAAAATTTGTCATTATATTATTATTCATACCATCTGTAAATAATACTAGCATGATATTTCTGAAAAAATATTATTATGTTGACTCTAAAAAAAAAAGTTGAAGCTGAATGAACAAAATTTGTTAAGTATTCATTTGTATTCCATTTTGTTTGGTTTTTGTATAAGATATCAATTGATATTAGATACTTTTATTATGAGTTGTGCTGCCAAAGTAGATCTTAGAATTCACAACATTCTGCTTTGCTTTTTCTCCTTTTTGGTTTTCCAAATAAGCAGAATATTTGTACTTAACAGAATTTATTTTCTCTTTCATTATAATGCTGTATGCAAGAGCTCCCATTAGCAAGAAATACTTAGAAGTCTTATTATAACACCTCATTTGAGCTCAAATATTTACCTTACTACATATAGAAAAGAGACCAGAGCACAGACATGTTTAGTTGTGTGCATGTGCAAATTTGATTCTTGGCACAACAGATATTATTGAACCTCTTTAAATCAGATGTTCTCAATACATGTACTTGTATGAAAATATCTGAATTCATACTTGAGAAAAAACATTACAGAATTGATGTTTAATATTGACATTGCAAAGATTTAAGTGCTTTTTTACCAGAACAATGGTCTAGGTTCATTGACACCCATGTACTTTGAACCTGTCCAGGAGTCTGAATCAATCTTCTTTCATGTCTGTGATAAAACATATGACAATACAAATAAATCCTAGAAATTTTAAAATATTTTTGTCCTTGTTTTTCTGTAATGATCAATCTAAGACACTGTAATATATTCTAAATTCAAATTTGTGTATTGCAAAAAGATATTGTGGAAATGAAAATGTTTTCTTAATATGTTTTCCTGTGCCATTAACTGTTTCAATGTATGTAAGTTAATCTGAAGCAGAGCCTCAAGTCAAGTTTTCTAAAAAAAAAAAATGTAGATCTGGAGAATCAGCTTAGTCTTTCATTAATTCAGAATAAATATCTCTTCAGTGAAAGATCTAATCTTTTCATTTAGGGTTTTGTTTGTTTGTTCTCGTCCCTTCGAGAATTTTTCCATTCATACTGAGAGAAAAATTTGCCGCTCTCCACTTGCCGTTGGAGGACTGCAGACTTAGACATATACTCGGTACTTACGGTCTTTGAGCAGTGTCTTTTTTCATGCCATTACCTACTGCGTGCGTCGAATTACAGAGTCTCCACCGAAGGACCGGTCTCCGTGTCATACAGTGGATTTGAACCCCGACGTAAGGATCAACTCTTTACTCCGCGACTCTAGTGCATGTTTACAAAAAAATCTTAATATATTATTTTCCGATCAAATAGTACACGGCGGGTGTGACCGGTCGACAGGGGAAGCTCACTCCTCCATGGCACCTGATCCCAACTCTGATGTTTTTGGAGGTCCGTTTTTGCTCTGCTCCCGATTTGTATTGTTTTAATGGACTTTGTGCTTGAATACTGTTCGTTATCTCCATATTTCATCTGGATATGTTTAAACCTTAAAAATTCAGACTAAAGGGCATGGTCTATGAAGAAACATTCAATTATTGCTTTAAAAGAAATTCTTAATGATAAAAAATATTCTTGTCGGTCGTTGCCACGTGATTCTGGAAAAAATTACAACAGCATCATATTTGCACCACTCTGTTTTTTACAAACCTGAATAGACGCCGGGGCGAAGTGGTTAGAGCGTTTGTACCTATAGATGTCGAGTTGAGAGTTGAGAATTTAATTTTAAAAATATAATAATTATTATACCGTTTGTGATTGCTCAGTTTTTCTAATATCAACATCAAATGAAATCATGGTTAATGTACCCTTTTATTTAATTTTATAGTACTACGTCGTGTTAATCTTGTACGGATTAATGACAAAACAGTGGTAATTGTACTATCACCAAGTACTGAAAGGGAAAAAAATACGAGGCGTAATATCTTAGACCATAGAGTTACAGAACTCAAGATCATCATTCTTATGACGTTTGTAAAGGAAGTTTATCATTAAAAGTTTTTTACTTATTCAGGGGAAAAAATCACGAAAAGGTGATGAATACTTCTTTCAAACTAAAAGAACGATTGTAGAATATAATATTGTTTATGTGGATTGGTTTTCTTGAATGCCTTTTGGTGTCCTTTTGAATGAATCCGGCATCAAGCCAGAATAAAACCTTTGATGATACCAATCCTTGTTTGATGGCCGATTTCTGCGTTATTGATCCGGGTATTCTCTGTTTTAATGGTTACGAATGCTTGGATCTTGTTGGATCTGGCTGCTGTGAACAACCCTGCGGGTATTTTATTGATCATCAAATCGTCATTTTCTCCAATAAAGGTTACAGGCGATTCCAAGTCAAACATGCTAGCTTTTGTACCCAAGATTCATTCGGTATTTTAGAGGCGAACCCATAATGATTTTCAATATCGAATTTTACACCGTTTGCGTCATTTTGCGACTCAGTGTAAAGTATCAGCCTAAAGGATAAACTCTCTTGTGTTATTTACCTTTATCAGATACATTAAAGAGACAGACGATGGGAAGTCAATCTCTGACTTACATGTTGTCTTTCACACTTTGTTCTCCTCAGTTCTCTGTATAAAACTCCTGCTGTACCCCCTCCCCGTATTCCCTCCCTAGCAAACACGCAAACATAACAGCAGAGCGAATTAAATCAATTTATAGACCACTCGATAATAAGGCAAAGAAAGTTCCAAAAAAAATTCCATAAATATTTTTTTTTAATCAATAGAAAATTGAGGGCCTAGTTTATTTCTATTATGCAAAAGAGTTTAATTGATATTCTGAGTTTTGATAGTGAAGTAATTGCAAATCAATTGTTTGAATTCTTTACCTTTTCATTAAAATATTGGAATATTATTGATACATGTAATTGTATAGTATAGTGACTTTTTATTTTAAAAGAATGCAATGCACGTAATTGTATCATGAAAAAAGAGGCTTATATTCCTTTTAATTTAACCTCAAAACACGCCTAGAGTGAAAAACCTCTCATTTTGGACATTTCCTTTCCAAACTAAATTAAAAGCACAAAGAAAACAATATATGAATTTGATAAAAAAAATGCTAGGGTAAAATGTCATAATTTACTAATTTTTAATTATTATTTAATTAAATGGGATGTTGCAACTAGCAATGTAAAAGCAACTCTTTTATGTTTTATTAATCATTTAAGGATGACATTACTCAGGGTTTTAGTTGACAGCAACTGCACGGATAGCTATAAAATACTACATCTTTAATCAAAACTTGTTTCAATGGACAAAATAGCCATGTTATAAATCAATATTAAAATTTAATGATTTACTATTTGAAGGAAATATTCAAGAGCAAAGGTAAATTTATGGTGATGCAGAAAAAATCGGGCCAAAATTTTAATTTTTTTAAAAATTATTTTACAGGAAAAATTGCAACATAATTCTGAAAATTAAGATTCAAAGTATCTTTGAACATTGTTTTGCAAATATTATGTGCGTTTGAGCTCATGCAAACATGAGCTTATGCATATTTTAGATAATTCAATGGCAAGTGATGAAGAGTTATCACAAGTGTAAGCAAAAACATTTCCAGAAAATGCAAAAACTTGATAATTGACATCATAAATAAAATACAATTAAAAATATAATGAGCACTATTGGTAAACTCATCTCATTCCCTCTCACATTGGCCTCTCTTGGTCTATGAAGAGATTAAATGTACAAAGATAAGGTATTTCTGTCTCGTTTTTATTTATCTATAATTAACAAATCTACCTACCATTAAGAACTATGGACGTACTTTTTGTATTATATATTATAAAAATCCTTGTATAAATCTCTTATTAAATTTGATCTTTCAATTACATAAATTACAGTGATTATTAATAATCATACGTGAATAGCAAAGGGGAATAACTTCTCTCCGTGATATACAAATTAATAGAGCCCTGCCCAGCATCAGAACACTTGGCCAAGTGGTCCACTGGACCCCTGACCCTAGCGTCACAAATTTGTAAATTTTGGAGGATGTACCCTTGCTCATCATAATTATGCAGTTAGTTTATCTGCTAAATATCAAATAGCAGAAGAGAAAATTTTCAAATAATTTATACATTTTTCTAGATAATCAATTGAGCCCCCAACCCACCCCTTCAACACTAGAACACCCGATCCAGGGGTCATTGTATTCACAATTTAGGAAGAGGTACCCTTGCTTACCATGCTCTTAGTTTAACTGCTTAATACCCAGGAGCAGATAAGAATTTATGCATTTTCACTATATAATTAAAAGACTCCCACCCTGGCTCCAGAACCCTTTATTCAGGGGCCATGAAATTCAAAATTTTGGAATAGGCACCTTTGCTCATCATAACTATGCATTTAGTTTGTTTGCATAATACCCAGGAGCACAAAAGAAGATTTTAAAAGAATAATGCATTTTCACTATAAAATAAACAGAGCCCCGCCTACACCAGAACCCATGATCCAAGGGCCATAAAATTAAAAATTTTGGAAGAAGCACCCCTGTCTATCATCACCATGCACTTAGCATGTCTGCCCAAATACAAAGGAGCATAAAAAAATTTTTGAAAGAAATAAAATAATGCAATTTCACTCTATAATCCACAGAGCCCCACCGTAACACCAGAACCCCTGATCAGGGCCATGATATTCACAAACCTTTGCTCATCATTACCTTGCACAAAGTCTCTTTGTTTAATACACAAAAGGAGAGAAGAAACTTTTTAAAGAATTAATGCAATTTCATTATATTACCAACAGAGCCCCAATCTTGCTCCAGAACCCCTGATCCTGGGGCCATGAAGTTCACAATTTGGGTAAAGGACTTACTGTGTTTTATAATCATGACAACAGTTTGATTGCTTCATATTCCTGGGGTAGAGAGGAAGATTTTTGAAAATTGCATTAATTTTGATGGTTTTTGCCCCATTCCTCAGGCGGACAGAGACCATTTTTATCCCTCTTTGACGAAAGATGCTCTATACCAAAATTTGTTGAAATTGGTCGAGCGGTTCCAGAGAAGAAGCATAAAATGTTCACGGACGACGCATGACGATGGACGAAAAGAGATTGCAATAGGTCACCTGAGTGACTCAGGTGACCTGAAATATGTTTCATTTACTGTTGCATTTTCAAAATATTTCATTATCCGAAGAGTTTTGTTACTCGGTATATTTTGTTAGTGAAGAAATTATTGGCCATAGTGTAAAAAAAAATTGAAGTAAATGTATTTTCCGAGAAATATTCCAAAGAAAATTAGCATGAAAAGTAGATCATTTACCTTATTATTTGGTAGTAAATAATAACATAACACATGCAATCGTAGTTCTACAATATACAAAAGGGGTTTACTATTTGCTATCAGTGGAATTCAGTCATCTGCGTAAAAGTTGTCCTTAAATGAAAAAGGTGAAGATAACGAACAGGATCGACCTTAAAAAAAAACTACAAACAATACAAATCTGTGAATAGGGCAAAAACACAGATCCCTGAGGTGGGATCAGGTGCCTAGGAAGATTAAACATCCCCTGTCGATCGATTACACCTGCTGTGAGTCCTATGTATTGATCATGTAGTCCGTAGTCAAATTTAGTATAAAAACAAAGGCCTAACAATTGGTATGAAATATGTCAGTCAAAATACGACCCAATGATTGGTTATCTTTGATTACAAGGTCATTATAATTACGAAATTCTGACTTTAGACAAGGTTGTTGAAATCCTTGTTATTTCAATTTATCTGTCATACCGCCTCGGTTTAAGAATTGATCGTACGCAGAGCATGCTCCTGAGTATCAAATAAGTTGGGAGACATAAACACCATATGAAGATGATAGCAGAATATTATTAGGTAAATAAGGAAAGCTGACGATGGAAAAAGCTGAAGCCTCGTATGTCATACAGTTTAGTTGTTAGTTGGCCCTTATAGTCTATAGTCAGTAAAACATCCAAATATGAAGCAGATGTGGCAGACTCTGTGGAGTCTTTTATTTCTAATTTACTGGAATATATAGAGTCGACTCTTAAATGGAAGTAACTATTGTCGTCGAAATATTTTATTGTAAAGTTTTTGAATAAATTTGGTATTCTGATTCTGACTAAGAGATCTATGAAATCTTGAGCAAGCCTCGTATCTCTTGAAAATTAAAAAAAAAATGAAGGAACTTGCGTTTTAGGAAAACCTGTTACTAATGAGCACTGGTTATGGAACCTATATTTCGTAAATTATTGCAACTTATAATCTTGAAGAACACAGTTTAAATATTGGCGATACTTTTACTTTGTCAGATTATTGACACCAACCTTTATCTACAGAAATTGTTGATACATCAGAAAATGTTATAATCCGGACATTTGCTCATATTTTGGTAGTGAAAAATACTTCGCACTTCAGATGCAATTTCTTCCTCTTGGGATTCTAATAATAACACAAGTTAAAACCTCATATCTCACTGGAGAAAGAAACAAATTAAATAAAATGCAGTTTGGCGACCTCGACAATTCTACTTACATTAGGGGACAAAAACGTTGAATAAACATGAGCAGATTGAATATTTGAAAGAATTTCAGAAAAAGTTTTATTCAGCACAAAGAGCTCAGTTATTCAACAAATTTCACTGTTGGTAATCAGGTGTGATGTGTGGTCATTTAAGGTCTTTCGAAGATAAACATTGAAATCTGTTAATCAACATGTGTTAGTGTAATACACGATGTCTTGATGCACATGTCAATATTAGTGAGGATGTTCTTGAGAAGGTCAAATTTAAAGATACACGAACCATATTTATAAATTCAATCACAGTAAAAAATAATCAAGATTAAGGCCATCTCACTTTAAACGGAGATAATTATGAAGTCTCGTGACAATATAAATTATCAGTACCTCATATGATTTGCAAGTCGGGAGCAAAGTCACTGTTATCATAAATCGTGAATGTAAGATTATTTCTTCAATAATGCTAAAGATGGCGGGGTGTCAGCACTCCCTCGCCATTTTGGCATTCCTGGGTGTCGTCTGTCATGCCCTGGGAAAAGAGGTAGAATGTCAACAGCCAGCGTCCTCTCCCGAGTCAATCTACAATTTCATGGCTCCCGACATTTATCAGAGAAGGAATATTTCTTTGTCGGAGTACCGTGGCAAAGTGTTGGTCATCACAAATCTTGCCTCCTTCTGAGGTTTAACCCCCATGCACTACATGGGTTTCAATGCACTCAAAAAGACATTTGCAGGAAAACAGTTCGAAGTTCTGGGCTTTCCATGCAATCAGTTTAATTTGGTAAGTTGATATAAGTCATTTTAGATTTTTTTTTATTTTCAAAACATGTGCATGCATAATATGGTGTGTCTAAAAGTATCATGTTTGATAGAGAAGAAGAACAATAGTGTTTTGATATAACAAGGAAGCGATGGCTTTTATTTGCAGCAAGAACCGGGAGATACTGCAACAGAGATTTTAAATACCATTAAGTATGTCCGCCCCGGAAACGGATACGTTCCAAATTTTCAAATGTTTGCCAAGGTGGACGTCAACGGCGAGAATGAACACCATCTTTTTACTTACTTAAAGGCAAGCTAAGTTTACATGCACTAAATCTAACGAATTTTTAATGAAGAAAAAACAAAACCAAGTACGTCACGTTGTTTTAAAAGGCGTTACAGAAAGAGCTACGACTTTCAGCAAAGGTTATTTGAATTTAGTATGCAATTGTATATGTTCTGGATAAAAAATTATATTGAATTTCTGTTGAACGCAACTGTAACATGCAAACAATGCTCTATTGAAAATGCCTGCCTTCACAATATCATTGTAATTGTTTGACATTCCAATTTACAGAAGTACTGCGGTCCAACAGCAGATGAATTTGAGGATGATCTTTTTTACAAACCTCTTCGTGTCAGTGACGTCAGATGGAACTTTGAGCAGTTCGTCATCAACCAGCAGGGTAAACCAGTAGTTCGTTTCTCTCCAGAAGTTAATCCAATTAATCTTACTTCCATTATTTCATCGTTACTACCAAGATCTGATAATGAATTCGAAATTATCAGCAACGAAATACCAATCGTACCGAACTAGTCAGTCTTCCAAGTACATACGTTGTATGTGACATGTTTCTAGTGCATATATTTATACCATGTATATGTATAGCGAAAACTCAAACCTATTATTCATAGATACAGACACTTGATGACTTCATTTCTTGAAAGCAGAGAATTTATTAGAAATGAACGAGTGTTAAATGTGGTTTTTCACTTTGTGCATTGTGTGAATTGCTTCAATTATATTTGTCAGTATCTATGTATGATATGTAATAGATCTTCGGTACTCATATGATGTTGCAAATATTTGAAATAAATCATAAGAAAGTTTTAAATTGTTGCTTGTCTTTTATCGTTTAATTTGAACATGCATGTAAAACACCATTTTCTATTTCCACCATTGGACCTACAATTGTAATAAGTTTTATAAAAGTTAGACGATTCTGAAAATATGAAAAATTTAACCCCAAACCTCTCAGAAAACTAGAGTTCAGTAACGTTGTAGTTCAAGTACTTCATGAATTCTCAAAAAATAATTTCATATCTTATATTTCCATCATTTGTTTGATGACTTGCCACAAACTTACATCATTCAACAATCATTTTTGAAACAAATCAGTTTGTACGGTATTCTGAAGTCACAATGGAGATATTCTTGCTCATCCATGGTAGTTCCTGAGAAAATTTTTCTAATTTGCAAAGACTCTTAAGGAAAATTATTAGAAAATATAAATATTTAGGTATGAATACAACTATAAACAGGTTTGACAAAAGCATGATCGCCCAGCCAGTTTTACCTGTTTATTGCAATGTTGTCACGTGTGAATATTTTTATAATAAATATTCATGATTTTTCTCCTTATGAATTTGCTCGTATAACGCACATATCTCGACATACACATAGAAATTTGATATTTTACTCGAGGAAGTAAGTTTTTAACGAAATCTGAATATTTTCTACCCAAAAATAAGCAAAACTACAGACATATCATTTTTGATTTTAACATTTGATATTTAAATCATATTTTCTATACTTACAGAAGATTTTTTTTTATCTCCTACTAGGTAAAAATGTCCTCGAATTGAAATTTTCGTGAGGTATACATTTTTAAATTTTTTTTTCCTTCACAAAGTACATTGTAGGTCTGATGAAAAAAAGTGAAAAATATTTAATTTTACTACAAGTAGCAGATGGCTTGCTGTGTGCACACAAAGCTCGTTTTTCTCAGACTGACCACGAAATACATTAAAACTACAGAGCAAATAGTTTATATCAATTGAAGCAATATATTTAACAGAACATTCTACTATATATACCCAAAATCAATCAGTCACACCCCCTGCCTTCAGTTTTGTTCCTTTTATAATCATGAATAATTAAAATCTAATTAGATTGATGAAAAATATTGGCTTATGTTCCTATTTCCTTATGGAAAGACATTAAGAGACCCAGTCCACTTAAATATCCCCAAATATTTTAGCAACTACAATGTGTGGTTAATATTCGAATTCTAATTACATACAGTTTCGTGATTTGAACCAGGTCTTTATTTCATTCACATCGAATCTTGAAGTGGGTCCTTGAAGAATATCATCGTGAGATAGAAGAGGGGGGTATAATAATGACACTTACGATGGTTGTGTTTAATTATTATGACTGATATTACACGACACCGATAAATTCATATGAAAATCTCGATTACTAATAAATCAAGCTTCATTTCCCCCCAAAATATCCAAGAACAGAGCATAGAACCTTTTGTCATAATCAAACATCATAACATGCGGACAATGATAAATGTAATTTAGTGATTTTTTTGGAGACAATTAAGATATTTTTATTTTTGATCAGTACATTTCACCTTTCAATACTCAATGATTTATCTTTGAAGCAAACCCTTCAGTGGTTTAGAAGTCTTTAAAGACCCGAGGTGCAATTTTCTATGGTATTCCGATAAAGGCATCACCTATCAAAAAATAGATATCTTGACAATAATGGAGCATTAATTGTGACTAAATAGAAAACTAGGCGTTTATGTTTTCTCGATTCATTTAAAAAGTCCCCAGGGAATGTGATTTTTGTTTATCGAAAGAGGAGTTTAAAGGCAGTTGTCCATCACATCTATTTTGGTTTCAATTAATAGTATTTTGAAGTCCAACAACATCTGAGATAAATTTAGTTTTGCTTCAAAGACAGAGGTTTCAATAATTAAAAAATATACTTCTTGGATTAAGCCATTTTGTCAAAATAAAGTTTCATACTTATCCCCTACCGGCATGTGTAGTCTGCTTCCCCTATAAAATCAAAAGATCATAAATCAAAAATCATCGAAGTGGAACGTAATTAAATCTTGAACTTTAACTCCTAATGGTAGAGTCCCAAACTAAAATTCAGCTCAATATCTGCAAGCATATAGGAAAACCGAGTGGAACAGATTGACTCAGACAGACAGACGGATAGGTAGAGAGGGAACCTATACAATATATATAGTTCCCTCCGCTTTCAGCGGTATGCGACTGACAATAGTTGAGGTTTTAATAAACAAAATCAGAATGTCTGTTTTCTTAGACGATATGATAGTCAACCATAATTGCAAGTAGTCTTCAGTAGTCATGATAAACGATTCAGAACTGCAGATTTAGTCTACTTATATAACAAAAAATGATTAAAATTCTCATCTGTATATATATACATTTCCATTTACTAGTATTTTTGTTTAAGGTTCTTGACAAAGAGGAATCTGTGATTCTTTTCCTTATGAACTCACATGTGTGAGTACGAATACTGTATAACAACTATTATTCGTGACATCTTTTATTCGCGATTCTTCAATTTGAAATCAATCCGCGACGATTAATTTTTGCGACTGAGGAAATATTCTCTATGAATACAAAGCAAAATAAATGGTTCGCGGCGATTAATATTCGCGAATCTCGCGGATACTAGTATTTCTCGCACGCGAATAAAAGTTGGTTAACAGTATCTCCTATCTCCATTTTGACACTTTAAAACCATACTTGACGTCAAAAATATAATGATGTCTATTTTTTTTAAATGATAGTTGAATGATATAATTTGTGTCCAATCATCAAAAAATTAGGTAACATAATATATGTATGAATTTAATTTTAAATTCAATAGGGTATATGAACTACAACACCTCATAACTATTTTTACCATGAAGATCTAACTCTCTTCATGAAATACTAGTATACTGGCGGGAAACATCGTAGTTCATGTCCTCATAAATGATAAAAATTATATTCATTTCTGAAATCAAAGTCACAGTTACGAAGTTGTGTTGTTACTTGCTCCGAGTAGTTTGTGTGTATAGATTACCTGTGCTTTTTATTACCCTTTTAAACATTATATTGCGTATACCATTTGATATTCAGTCAAGCTTTTTTTAATTTGAGAATTTTGAAGAAAATATGTGGGAAGTTGAAAAGGAAATAGGACTTTTGGTTGGTTATCAGGATCACAGTTAACCCTAGATCTTTTATTAGGGTAATCGTCCAAATTTCTTTTTTTGCCAATCTAAAATTTTCTTGTCATAAACAAAAAGCAATATTTTTAAAGTGCTCGCTATACAAAAGGAGTATTTTATTTCAAAGACCAAGGAATATTAAACTGCAAAAAATCAACATGAAATATATCATTATAAGATATTTTAGAACATAAAAGCACCGAGAAATTCCCCAAAACTCTTGAAAAGGGTGAAGATAACAGACAGTGATTGATTAAAAAAACTACAAACAATACAAGGCTATGAGTCGGAAATTCCAGAGGTGAAATCAGGTGCCAAGAAGGAGTAGGCATCCCCTGTCGACCAGACACACCCGCCGTAAGCCCTATGTATTGATCAGGTAGATGGAATATTCCGTAGTCAAATTTAGAATAAAAACAAATGCCTTAATCTGGTATGAAATACGTCATTCAAATACGACCCAACGACAGGTTATATTTTCTAATAAAGTCAATATAACAACCATAGAATTTACGAAATACTGACTTTCAACGAGGTTGCTGAAATCCCTGTAACATCAACCTATCTGTCAGTAGCCGGACTTGGTTTAAGAATTGAGATCTTTAGTATCGAATAAGTTAGGAGGCATAAACACCATATGCAAGTGATAGCGAAACATAACTACACAAATAAGGAAAGTTGACGATGGAAAAGCTGTTCAAATTCATCTCGTTTGTCATACAGTTTAGTTGTTAGTTGGCCTATGTTGTCTATAGTCCATAAAACATCTGCATATGAAACAGATGTGGCAGACTCTGGGGTGTCTTTAATTTTGAGTTCACTTGGATATATCCACTAGACAAATGAGTGGAAATAACTATTATTAATGAATAAAACGTCGTCGATATATCTGAATGTCGGGTTGAAGACTACAGCAAGTGTTTTCTTCTTTTCATATAGAAGTTTTTGAGTAAATTCTGCTTTATAGGAATAAAAAAAAAACTAGGTTGGCTTATAAAAAAGCACAGTTAGTGCCCATCGATATTCCAACAGTTTTTTTTTTAAATAAGATCTCGTCTCCAAAGACAATATACGAGTAGATTTGTCCATGAAGAACTCCATCAGCCTTTTAATATACTCTAAAGTAGACCTTAAAAAGATACTTGAGTTTCTGATTGACAATATCTATGTAGTTTTTGGAGATCATGTCTTCCAACAGTCTGTCGGAATTCTCATAGGTATCAACTACGCCTCGTTATTAGCACCCCCATTTTTGTATTCATATGAAGAAGAATTTATTCAAAACTTATACATAACTTCAACTTTCCTATCGTCAACTTCCCATACTTATATAGCAATTTACCCTTGTCACCTGCATATTGGGTTTATATCTCCCAGTTGATTTGATACGTAAAAGAGCACGCTCCAGGTACGGACAATATCTAAAACGAGGCAAACTATTGACAAACAAGTTGATGAAATAAGGATATCAAAAGTCTCGGTTAAAGTCATCTAAAGTTCTAAGTCGATACAATGACCTCGTCAGCAAATACAATCTATCAATTAGTCGAATGCTGACTGTTAT